ACCAGGAGCTTGACAGCTTTAACCTGGCGCCGACAACAGTGACTTTGTCGTCGTCCTCACCACTTTCCTCTTACGCCTGATCAATGTTCTCCTCGTGCGAGGACAGCTGGAGGTGCCATTCTGCAGCAACCACCGACCACACTGCTGTGCAGCTAATTTATGCTATCGCATGCAACGCTGTAATTTAAAGAAGTCTATGAACGCTGGGGGTGAAAGGAACACAGGTTTTCTGTTACCACTCTTCTTTGTTGCTCGTGTGGCTGGAAGAATGTGGGAAAGGGTGAAGGTTCTGCTCACGTGACAGAACCTGCGTGTGTACACATGTACAGAGTAGGCATTTCTATAGAGAGAGAGAGAGAGTAAATTAAAACTCACGTGCAACAACTTTGGTTGCAGTCCTAGTGTTTACCCCTTTCCTTGTTGCACGCCCCCTTTTGTGCATACACATACGGGTTACACCGCCGCTTGTCCCAGTGGTCTGTATTAAAGGGGGCATTGTGTAGCATATATAAATAAAGTTACGATGATGTGCATATTTATTGCTCAGCAAATGGTCTCGCAACTTGCTCTGCACGAGTTATTCCTCTAGTATTCACTGACAAGATGCAACTTAGCTCACCTTCTTGGCTGCCCGCTGACCAGTTACAGAGGCTATCAGCCACGTAATCGTTTTCTTCCTTGGTGGTTTGAGAACTCCTTCACCAAGTGGATTTCGCTTCTCACTTTGAAGTCTGTACAGTTTCACGTTTATGTACAAAGTAAAGTTAGTTTTGTGTGTAGACACTTTGCATAGAGATACAGTTGAACACCTTTATAACAGAGACAACTCTGTACAGGAGACCCCCCTGTGTCCAACACTGAAATAAGGGTTGATAAGAAGAGGACATTGTACTTCGCTTATAAGAAACACCTCACGCAAGAGGACAACCTACTGCCAGCTCCACATCTCTTTATTAAGGGTTTCGCTGTACTGTATGGCATCGCAGCCACCACAGGGTCACTGCCAGTATCATGTGTTTGTAAGTGCTAGGCTAGTGCGAATAGGGAATTTGAGGTTCGAAGCGAATAGTGATTTTGATCGAATAATCTCGAATCGAATTGTATGTATGACATATGAAAAAGGAATTTTATAATGACCTAACTAACCTGCACAGTATTTCTTTCGAATCGAAATAGGTGCTCTATGCAAATGACATTTTTTTTTTTCATTCAAAGAAAGTCGAAACAACCTTGAGTAGTAGTTTCAACAGGATGCGAGTGATAACCTGTAAGATACTTAACATTTTAAAATTTATTATACTTGGATCATATAAGCCATCATAACGAAGCTTAATAAATGAAGAATTGATTTGAGGGCAACAGCACAGGGCCCTGCAACACTTTTTCAAGTAGCCATGGAGCCAGTAAACATACTTGTTGCCTCACAAATTTACCGCCGCAAAGTTTTTAGAATCAGTCCTGTATGAGCGGAGTTATAAAATTTGTTGCACGCTGCAATTGCATGCTCTCTTCTCGTCCCGACGAAATAGCTGGAAGCTAAGCAGGGAGGGATGGCAAGGCGAAAAAAATAGGTCACACGCACCTCGTGACCCTAGAGCACCTTTCTTTTTTTTTCTTCGAATATGTGGCTTTTCAGTGCGATTGCGTACAAACTCGGAAACTCGTGGCGGCCCCGGTAACGACGAACCCGCTATGCTCAAATCAGCCAATGGCTGTGGCCAGAGTCGTATCTTCCTTCTCATCTGTGACAAGTGATTTTTGAGCTTGTGTCACTTGCCGAGGGAAGAAAGCAATTTTTAGCCTTGAAAATTTATTGTGAATTACAGGCCGCGTGCTGCACTACAATATTTGCCTCGCGTGTTCTCGGTAGCCTCGACTGCCGATCGGCACCGTTTTCTGACCATGTTGAGCAAGTGTTGCATGGCCCCTTTATATTTGTAGGGGGGCTTCGCGGCAAAATGAATTTTTTCTGTGTGGGTGCTTTCACGGCTTAGCATCTGTACAGTTGCAGTGAAACTACCTTTACAGGCGGTGACATGCGGATTAATATACACCTATTTGTTCATTGCGAATACTTCGAAAATATTCGATAATTTAAATTCGAATCGAAGCGAATTCAAGTACTCCAACTATTCGTTCGAATATCCGAAGCATTCGAATATTCGCACAAGCCTAGTAAATGCTCATGTGTCGGACATTCTCGCATGCAAGTAAGCACTCGCCCAAAAGAAAGCATGCTTATTTTAAATATTTAATGGACATTTTCTCCCTCAAAGCATTACATACGTATTTGCAAAGAGTTACTTCTGTCGGGGTTGTACAAGTGTGCAAAGTCTGCACACTTCCCATACAAATTAAGAAAACTAGCCCATTAATGTAAGTTTATGTAGTCACTGTATTACTCCAAACCTTTTCAAAAGAATGTTATTAGTCGTATGACTCTGTGCACACTATTGGCATGTGGCACACTGTGGGGGTATAAACACTGTCATCCTTTATGAAAGGGAGTACACGAGCGTATGGCGTGCACTCTGCGGTGGCTGCCTGCAGCACCATCAACCGACAGCTAAAAACAGCTCGTACACTTTTGGGGGACATCATCTATTGGCAAACATTATGTGTCCTGGACGTTGGACTGCTAGATTACGCTCCAGTCTTTGTATTAAAATGGCGATGCGACCAAAAGTAGAGGTGCTTTTTTTTTTAGGCTGTTAGTTGACGGTGCTGTAGGCAGCGACTGAAAAGCACAAGGCACACGCTCGCATGTTTCTTTTCATGAACGATGACTGTGTACTTGAATATCTTTGATGCTCGCATTCATGCCAATCCAAGATGGATTAGATGAGTTCACCTAACTGGTGTCTTTGTGGTCTATAGTCATTCATTGGGCCGCAGAACATTGGCTCTTTGCGACTCCTGTCAGGCTGAAAAAGGCGCTATTTGGGAACTCTGGAGTTCCGATCTGCCCTGATTGGCCGGATGAAAGAAGCACTGCTCAGCACTCGTAAACCTCGATTGGCTTCACTCAGCCAATCAGACCTTCGGCTCTTTGCAACTCCTGTCAGGCTGGAAAAGGCGCTATTTGGGAAGTCGGGAGTCCCGATCTGCCCTTATTGACTTTGGCCTGATTGCCAGGCTGAAAGAAGCACTGCTCTGCACTCGTAAGCCTCGATTGGCTTCACTCAGCCAATCAGACCCTGAACGTGATTCGATGTCTACTTTACTATAAGTAATGTAACGTTGATCTAAAAGCACAGTTGTGACCTGTGGCTGACTTTCCCGTACTCTATGTCTATGCACCACCTTCTAGGCATAACACAACCAACATTGTGGGGCACAAAAGCATTTGCATGTTGCATGAGACGGTGGTTTGTCCTTAGTCGCATGTACAAAGTAAATAATCTTGGAAATTTATAACTCAACGATTTGAGAGAATCAAGGCTAGCATACTATGAAGTTGCAGCATGTGACTAGGGCGTACATTCTGAAGTAACCTGTCGGCCAGCTCAGGACATCCTTTCACTTCAACATCGTGAAAGAGAAACTCAATGGCTGACAAAAATCAAGCAATAGGGCAAATTTCTCCAAATGTCCAGCCTTTTGAAATTGCATGCTGTATGTAGTGTACAGCTTGCTAGGGTAGTCACGTTAGCCCTCTTGACATGATTCGAATGTGAAAGAGCAAGCAATCTGCTGTGTGCATTACTTGTGACCAGTGCCTTCACATCTCTGCCATTGAACCTGTTTTTAGTTAGGGTCAGACATGCGAGGTTGGCATTCATTACGAGCATTCGTGCCACAACTTTGTGCATAGTTCTGCTGAAGCCAACATACACACTATCACAAATGGCTGCTGGGTGGCTTGTATTTGCTGGGGCTCGGTTCATGGCACAGCTGGCCACCTCTCACCATTCTGGTTGGTGAAGGCCCCAGGACTGTGCTGGGTAGAAAGCAAACGAGGCAGCAGTATGACATGCAGCAAGCCTTGACAAACGACCGCTCCATGGACTTGACTTCTGACGCCCAACTCCAAATGGCAGGTGAAGTAAGTAGCTTAGTTTGTTCATTGAGAACTGAGGGCTGTTATATTATTTTTTCTCCATATTCCTTGGTCAACCAAAGTACTTTGAGTGCATATCAATCTGTCGATCTGTCTATATCAATCCAATTAATCATTTGCGGCCGTTTCATTGACGTAATTGGAATTAGCATCACAAGGACATGACATGAAAATCTTGCCGTGCTTGTTACTTACTACATGACTGATTGATGTGGGGTTTAACGTCCCAAAACCACCATATAATTATGAGAGACGCCGTAGTGGAGGGCTCCGGAAATTTCGACCACCTGGGGTTTTTGAGCGTGCATCCAAATCTGAGCACACGGGCCTACAACATTTCCGCCTCCATCGGAAATGCTGCCGCCGCAGCCGGGATTCGATTCCGCGACCTGCAGGTCAGCAGCCGAGTACCTTAACTAGACCACTGCGACCGGGCCTTACTTCATGACAGTCGGACCCTCTCCACAGAACACCTCTCTGTGCTCCCGCGGCCGTTTCTTCAGCTTGATTTTCTTTCTAAAATTGGTACCCGCGCAAGTGACAGATCATGGCATGAACACCTTGTTATGGGTGCGTAAATGCGAAGCATTTTTCTGCGTCTACGGTGTCATTTTGGTCAAAACTAGCAAAAGCATGAGAAACATGTATTAAAGAAGTAAATGGGACCAGAGCATTGAGTTTAAGTTTCATTGTATCTCTATGGACCAGATTGAATAAGTCTGGATGAGACCACCGCAGCGAAAGCAAGTCTTCCGAGAACAATTCTGTCATTGAAGCGAACCCCTTCGCGTATATATTTTTTTCTACAAGCTAACGCTGATCAATAATGTGTTTGTTCAAAAATAAACGGTGATTATTTACACTTTCGCAAGGAGAGTTTTAAAAAAATTTACTTGCACCTACGCTCACGCTAGTTGCAATAGAAGTCGAGCCCAGCCAATCCAAGCTTCGTGGGTCGGCTGTCGGTAGCCGTTGGTTTTTCGCTTTACGGCGTTACGTCTCATACGTCTTTGATAATTAATTCATCTAATACTTTAACATAACATAATGGCATACGCAGTAAGGTGAGTACACGATTGATGCATGGCGAAACTCTAACTTGACGTCGCAGTAACGGGAGGTCTCGTCTGTAATTCCCATGTGTCGAATGCGAAAGCTGACCCTCTGGTTTGGTCGCCTCAGATACGGCTGATCCTCTAGCACCAGTCCGCTCTCCTACTAAATATTTAGACGTGTATGGGGAATCTGGCGTACTCTTCCGTAGTTTGAATGGCAGGAGCGCTAAGCAAGCTGTAGTCTTGTTTCACCATAAAACGGCAAGGTTAATGAGGGCACTCCCGTCAACTCTTCTCGCAGTAGCTGGCGTACTCTTCCATAGTTTGAATGGCAGGAGCGCTAAGCAAGCTGTAGTCTTGTTTTACCATAAAGCGGCAAGGTTAATGAGGGCACTCCCGTCAACTCTTCTCGCAGTACGTGCGAATTAACGCTTAAGGCTGCACATCTGCAGCTAAGAGAAGTTGTAGCACGCACAGCTGAGTTGCAGTACATTCAATTGAGTTGTTTCTGTTCGCTTCAGGTTCGCCAACAGAGCAAGTGCTCTGTCGCTTCTGCGACCAGCGACAGCTTTGCCCACTGCCTGGTATGACCAGTTTTCACAATATTTTGATAATTGTGACTTCGTTAAAGTGCTCCTGAAGTGATTTATTTCTCGCTTTTAGATTACTTTTTTTTTAGAATTGTGTGGGTCGGTCCGGATCCCGTGAGCTACTACTGCGTTCAATGTTCCTCTACTGGAGAAATGTGGGAATGCTGCCTTGTTATTACGACATATTGTAAATATATCCTTTTAATGTGTCACCCGTGAGGTGCCACACAGGTTGTTAATCTTCACTAACAGCTGCCTCCAAAGATTTTTCCTCGCTAGATTTCGTGTCAGGACACCTGTATAAACACCGAAAACTGGCCCCTTTTCTGAGCGCCGCGGGAAAAGGCAGTGTTGTAGCATATCAAAAACTTGTGCACAAGACAGGGTGCTCATTAATGTGGTATGGGCAGTGAATTACTGTGGTCATGTGGGTTCACTGTGCTGCTCTTCTAGGGAGCTCCAGTCTGCAAACATAAAATGAAAACATTGATCATCTGAAGCAATTTTGTATTTCCTGTTACGGTGCCGGCCGCCGAGAAATTTCCGCATCTTGTGTCGACTTGGCATACACACTGTCGCAGCCTGCTGCGAAAGAGTGACTCCTGTATAGCTTTTCACATCTTTCTTTGCCAGCCTCGCACCTATGTCGGCAATGAGCCCGAAGCAAGCAGAAGCGACCGAGTACTTCTTCAAGAAGAACAAGTCACTGAAGAGGCCCTTGTCTCCCCACCTGAGCATCTATGCGTAAGTATATGTTCTGACTCCTTTTTTCAAGCCATGTCTCATCGCAGTAGTACCGGACAATCTACAGAAACCTTTTAAGTGTATCATACGATGTTGGCATTATGTATAGGAACAATATAGTCACTATTGTACTCACTTTCATGTCTTGTGAAGTTGTGCCATATGATGGTAGCAAAACCCTTTGTTGTACAGTAAGGGTATGGTGCTCATATTTAATACCTGAAGAAAGGCTTGAGCATACTGCAGATTTAATTGGGAATGCTAGGCATGACTTGAGAGATCATTTTGCAGGTTTTTCTAGGTTATAGCTGTTTTCTTTCATTTACCGAGCTGCAATATTTACTTAGAGCCATGGACAAACTAGTGCTAAATTGCAGTATATACTTCTCTTCTGGAAGAAACTGGTACCTGCAGAATTATAGAGTAGCATAATGGAAAGTGTCAGCATTATGTGGAGCCTGTGGGTTCGTATGCTATCGTTAAAAAGTCAGCTGCCCGAAAAGATTGAACATGTGATGATTTCATGTTTTACATGTTTCTCGTAAAGTCCCATTCCGGTGTTTTTTTTACATGTGGCACCTAAAGCTAATCAACCTGTTCAACAAGCTTCGAGGCAGCTTTTTTATAATGATGGTGATAATGTCTGTGTTCACTCCCTTTATAATTGGCAACTGATAGTGTTGCCTCATTCCTGCCAAATAAAAATAAGAATGCAATATGGTGACAGGCACTTTATATAATTGTTGAATATGCATGCTGTGCACAGATGTTGTCACCTTATTACAGGTGTTTAGCCATGCATGAAACACTACTGAACAGGCTAACAAGAGGTTCTGAAGGTTTTTGGATCAACATTGATCTTGGCTTTCCTGCATATTGAGAGCAAGCAAATCTAACAAGATTTTTTTTTTTTTTCAGGCCCCAAATGACATCAATGCTTTCACTGACACACAGGGCAACTGGCCTAACCATGACAGCTGGTATGTATTCTTTTCCAAGTTTAGCATATTTTCCAGATGGTTAAAGGTCTGTTAAAGGTGTTCTGAAGGAGTCAATGAATACTAGCTTGTCTTTCTCAAAATTTCCTCTCTTTTTGATTGTGGAAGAGGTTGGCTGGGCTAAATTTTCTTTGGCTGTTCATGTCGCCAGTGCAGCCCACACATTGTTGTTCCTTTCGTCCGCAGGCGTGTACGGCATCGGTATGATGCCATTTATGTGCTCTCACCACTTCCCACACTATGTGGAGGCTCTGCAGGCTATGCACATTTGGCCCGTAGTCACTTTCCCGGTGAAGCTTGGCCTGGCGTTTTGCCTCACCTACCACACCTTCAACGGCATACGCCACCTGGTGAGTTGTTCCTGATGGTACCATCTGCTTCACCTTTGCAAAATGTCCCAATTTTCGCATAGTAATTTTTCACTGACTGCTTCATAGACTGCTGGATCTTCATAGACTGCTGTTGGTTCGGTTACTTTAAAGGGGCCCTGCAACACTTTTCCCAGCAGTTACTGAAGGGCCTCATTGGAAGAGTTTATTGCCTTACAATTTGACCACCACAAACTCCTCCGTGACGTTTTCACTCTTTTGTTGTGTCTCGATTCATATGCTGTTGACTTCATCGAAAACGGTAGCTTCACTAAATATCTAGAATGATTCATACATTTCTAATGTTAGTCTAGAATCCTTGTCAAAAGAGGAGATTTATAAAAACAGCAATGACTGAAGTGCACAGACAGGATAATAAAAAAAGAAAAAAAAACAAGCGGTCTGGTGTACAGTGTTTTAGGCATTTCATTTTGTCTATTGCTGTATAGTTGGGCTTCCGGTCAACACAAGCACTCTATTATTATCTGGAATGAAGGAAAGAGAAAGGGAGAGCTACACCGCTTTGCAGTCACATTACCATCCCCGTTGTGCACTAGATATGATGTTCACTTTTTGAAACTTTTTCATGCTTTTGTTCACTCATCATGCTGGCTGTCTAATGATACACAATTATCTGCCAACTAGACATCATAATCTTAACATAAGGCCATTTTTTGCATCAGCTAATATATTAAAATAGTTTTTTTTTCAAGAATTGTTGTTTACTGGAACGAGCTGGTGCAGTTTACGAAATGAATATAGCAGATTTATTGGAGGCACTTGAATGACATAACGTCCTGCTTCTCTCGTGGTGTACCCAGTTGTGCTTAGGAAATATTTGTTCTGTTGAAGATTTTGTTACCCTTATTGCTTTTATGATGTACCTCACTCCTGCAATAGCCCTGCGTTGGGCTATAGTATTCTAAAATAAATGAATAAACAAATAAAGAAATAATCGCTTTACAAGCCAGCTGCCGCTCATGAAACTTTTGTTTTCAGGCCTGGGATTTGGGCCTTGGCTTTAGCCTCAAGGAGCTCTATGCCACAGGCTTTGCTGTCATCGGCCTCAGTCTGGCGACAGCTGTAGTGTTGGCCTTCAAGTAAACCTCCTTGTGTCTGGCAATCAGCACTTAGAGCCCAGTGACACGGCACTGCCTTCTATAAGGCTGTGCATAGAGAGGAAAAGAAAAGCCGTACAACACCAATTCTCGACGTGTTGTCTTGTTTTCTGATTGTTAATAAAATACCTGCAACAAGTGTGCATGTTGGTGAAGAAATAGTTGGCAATTCATGATCTGAAAAACTGACTGCAGAAAACACATGGGACGAGGAAAGAAACGACGCTTGTCCGTATGTACTCACCAAAGTTTTCCGAGTGTGGCTTTGAAATACTCGTTCCTGTGTGCTGAGTGTCACCATACCTCGTAAACTGAGCGAATGAGCACAGAGAAAGATAGATTGAGGCGGAATGTATTGTGTGCATTTTTATCAATCGGAGTATAGTCAAGTGGCACAAAATTTCGTTTTATTCTGATGCAACCAGTTGGAGATGCCCTCGGCACATCTTGGCAGAGCTGAAGTGCACTGAAGCTGGCGCTTAAGCGCATTCACGCATCCTTTCGCCCTTCTCACAATCACTGTGAAGCGTTCAAAACGGTTCAGCCAATGCCCAACTATTACACACCCAACAAGCCACTCCTTTGAAGTTCAACTATTACACTGCAATCGTTATTATAGCAGTGTTCATCAATTTCAGCAGTACAATACCCATATGTAAATGTGCACATTTCATGCCGTTGGGGTTTTTATGCTGTCTGGCAGCCCAAAAAATGCACATAGAGCTGCACTGGAATTTCGCATTAAAGGGTGCAGTAGTTGTTGGTAATGTTTTACTGTTTATACTCAGTTAAATTAAAGCATGCTCATGGTAATGAATGCAAATCATCAAAAAATAGGCACGCATAAACAGCGAGAAAAGTCTCCCCTTTTTAGCTTGATCTAAATGTCGAAGCAACAACAACAAAAACAAAGACAAGAAGCAGCAGGATTAGGCCTGCAGAAATAGAACTCAGAAGAGGATCTAATGCTGCACTGGCAGCACTAGTCTTACATTGCCGGTTCTTTATATATTGCCTCCAAGTGCTGCGTGTGCAAGTGTTGTGTGTTGTGTATATGCCCAAACACTAAATATATGTGTATTTAAAATATGTAGTATACACTTAAGTAGTCACATATAACAGCGTAGCTTTCTACATTGTCTTGTGATGTTTTTTTTTTTTTTTTCAAGAAACTAGATGAGTAAAAAAAAAACACCCCGCCTGCATGGAAGGCGCAGCACAGTTACAGTGAAAGCTAGAAGAGCAGCCTTTTGGAGCCTTTCCTAAACACTTATTGGGTAACTGCTGCACCTTTGCTTGATGCCTACTATGGCATTAATAATAAAAACTTTAGAGTAATAGGCTGGCATTCGCTATGCTATTTTTCCTCATTCTTCTGAAAAGCTTGGTGTCCGCTAAACTATTGCAAGGAGGTTTATGCCAATGGTTCATGCAGTGGCTGGCGACGATGGGGAATTATGCCTGAAGTGGATATGCACCACAGTTAATAGCTGAACAAAAACAAGCTTTTGTAGTGGGTTAGAGCATTTGACAACCCACTCGTTACACTATTTGCATTATGCGATGACTGCTTGTTCTTTTGCTGTTTTAAAACGCTTTATAAGTCTTATTAACGCGATTGCTTTCCCGACACCAAGCCTGCCTAGGGCAAGTTCGCCAGCAAGTCCCAAGCACCGGCATGGCTCAGTGGTAGAATACTGGGCTGGCACCCAGCGAACTCGGGTTCGAGCCCCACTGTGTCATCAGTACTTGGTTTTTTTTTTTCTGATTTCGCGCGATGTGGTTACAGACACCGGTGTTGGCAATGGACAACTACGGCTCTGCGCGAGACTCGAGTTATGATCTCGAATAGCAGCTTTCGCTGTAATAATTGTGGTGCAGCTGAGACAAGTAAGAAAGAACTAGGGAAGACTGGATACAGCACCAAACTTTTGAATTAGTTTATTTTATGCTCATTGTCCCAATACATATATTTCCAGATATGTGCAGAAAGAGGGGGGCACAATTATTTCGTTAAGTTATGCACCAACTCTCGCAATGTTACACTGTGCTGAAACTGAATGGGTAATTTCCGTATGTGCTAATCGTCAATATGCTTAAAATGTGGTGAAAGTGTACCATTTTTGTGGACAGTTCTTGCGTGGAGTCCACATTCTCTAAATACTCCTGAACACTAAACAAATGAATTTTTTTTTAATGAACTTCTTTAACTTAATATAAAGGTTACTGCAGGCCCAGGCCTTGGCATCAGGGCAAAGACATGAAAGGTGACGAGTGTCCGCCATGTACACAAGTGCCAAGCGTGCTTTGTAGGGTTGTCACATGTGAATAGATGACACTGCAGACAACTTGGACAAACAGAATGAAAATAAATATGCATACGTGTTCATGTGCAATAGTTCAAGAAGCTCTGTTGCCCCGCCGCGGTGGTCTAGTGGCTAAGGTACTCGGGTGCTGACCCGCAGGTCGCGGGATCGAATCCTGGTTCCGGCGGCTGCATTTTTAATGGAGGCAGAAATGTTGTAGGGCCGTGTGCTCAGATTTGGGTGCACTTTATTTGGGTGCACCCCAGGTGGTCGAAATTTCCGGAGCCCTCCACTACGGCGTCTCTCATATTCGTATGGTGGTTTTGAGACGTTAAACCCCACATATCTATCAATCAATAAGCTCTGTTGCGTACTTCTGAAATCGGGTCAGGACAGGAAGATGATTAGGAGGAAAAATGAAGACAGAAATGCCGAACACTGATAGCTGCCCTCTGTGAAACTATTTAAAGCAAGCTGTCCTTTGATATCACCTGAAGTACTGCTATTAAATTTTGCTGCACTGACACGTTGAAAATGCACTGGCTTACTCATAGCCACAAATGCCTGGCTTCTCCAGCCTGGTTAACCTTCCTGCGTTTCTTCAGTCTCTCTCTCTAGCTGTTACTACTTCAGCTGAAATGGCCCCATTCGTGGCCTACAGATTAGAAAGCAAAAAGTTGGCAGAGCACTACAGCTGTTCTTCGGATGTCTGAATGCTGATAGTACGGCGCCTAATTATGTTGTTTAATCTATTAAGACTTCTTGCTTGGACAGACACACTCCAGTGCACCTTGATCATGATTATAGGTGATGCGAGTGCACACAGGCCCAGAAGAACAGTGAGGGCACTCCTCCAGATGAATAGCGAGTCGGTGATGTCACCGTCCTTCGGTTTCTGGCCTTCTCCCTGTGGCAAGACGAGCAGTAGCACAGTGGCCAGAAGCGTGGCAGCAAACACACCAACAGCCCTGCAAAGGATGTGTAATGCATGAAAAAGTGTGAATGTAAACTTGTCGAGTGCTTAAAACAGTTTTATGACAGCTGCAGCAGATTTTTATGCACTTGAACAGCATTTGCCCTGCTCCTTCAAAGAAAACCAGAAGCTTAAACTTGCACCTTATAAGTTTTTATTCTTAATTTCCAAACAATATGCTAGAAATGGAGTATCCTTTGTGCAAACAGCACTTCATAAAGACATTACTTTTAACCCTTTCAAGACTGAAAGATGAGAAGAAAACATGCCAAAATGAGTGAAAAATGTTTCTCGTTCACTTTGTAGAGCTTTTTCTTCTGATGTAAACAGTACCAATATTTCAATGAAATAATCTTTATTTTTCTAATTACATATAAAGATACTGCATGCACAATATCAGAGGCGGCAATGCAACGAACGGCAAAACACGAGGAAGAGGTTTAATAAACTCTTTTGAAAAACGCCAGGCCTGTGCGGTAGGCGCAGCACAGTCACAACAAAAGCAAGAAGAGCGGCCTTTCAGAGCCTTTTAAAAACACTCATTGGGCAACTGCTGCAAGCACACTTGCTTGATACCCACTAGGGCGTTAATAATAAACTTTGGGTAGTAGGCCAGCATTCGTTATGCTGTTTTTCGTCATTCTTCTGAGAAGCATGATATCCGTTAAACACTTGCAAGGAATTTCGTGCCACTTGTTTATGCAGTGGCTGAGGACAATGAGGAATTATGGCTGAGGTGGGTATGCGCCACAGTCAATAGGGGAACAAGAACAAGCTTTTGTAATAGGGTGGAGCATCAGACGGCCCACTTGTTACGCTATTCGTATTGTGCGACGACTGGTTGTTCTTTTGCTGTTTAACATATTGTCACGGGGTCGTGACGTGGCCAAAGACAGAAAACTTCGTGTTGGGATTTAACTGTTTATTTGGGCGAACCTGTGCCCGGTAAAGGGAAAGTCTAATTACAGCAGCAGTCTTGCACAGATAGAAGTCTCGGACTGATAGCGGCGAACGCAGCGTCGGCCTTCGATCAACAACCGACAAGCGGCGAAGCGCGTCGGCATTTATACCCTTGCCATCGAAGGTTCTAGCGTTATCGCTGGCGGTGGCGTAGGTTCCAGAACAATCTGTACCGTTCGCACAGTGGGCGTGATCTTATCGAAATGATTTACTACAGTCCGGAACCTTCTCGAAACCTGCAGGCGCGGTTTGCGCCGAGAATCGTGTGGTGTTTTGGAACGATAACAAAAACTTGTGAAATGGAACGTGGCATTGCCCCCCTCTGAAAAAAGGCATCGTCCCGATGCTTTAACTGAAGATGAAGGTACAATAATGCAAGAAAGTACAATGAATAAATTACAATACAACAATAATACAAAAAAACACTGTTTCAGTTTGTTAACGTGCATGAAACGGCTTGAGGCGCGCGACATGGACGACTTCAGGTCGCGATCGGCGTCGTTGAGAGTTCGTGATGCCGTCGGGGACAACCTCGTAATCAAGTGGGCCGAGACGTCGAACCACCTTGTACGGTCCGAAGTACCGTCGCAGAAGCTTTTCACTTAGTCCACGTCGGCGTATCGGCGTCCACACCCAAACACGTTCACCGGGCTGGTATTCCACGAAGCGTCGTCGAAGGTTGTAACGGTGGCTGTCGGTCGTCTGTTGATTCTTGATACGAAGACGCGCAAGTTGTCGGGCTTCTTCGGCGCGTTGAAGGTACTCGCTCACATCGAGGTTTTCTTCGTCGGTGACGTTGGGTAACATGGCATCGAGCGTCGTTGCCAGGCTCCTTCCGTAGACCAATTTGTATGGAGATATCTGCGTCGTCTCCTGCATCGCCGTGTTGTATGCGAAAGTCACATACGGAAGAATGGCGTCCCACGTCTTGTGTTCGACATCGACGTACATTGACAGCATGTCGGCGATCGTTTTGTTAAGCCGCTCGGTGAGGCCGTTGGTCTGTGGGTGGTACGCTGTCGTCCGGCGGTGGTTTGTTTGGCTGTATGCCAAGATCGCTTGAGTTAAGTCGGCAGTGAATGCCGTTCCTCTGTCGGTGATAAGGACCTCCGGGGCGCCGTGACGTAGGACGATATTTTCGACGAAGAACTTAGCTACCTCGGATGCACTGCCTTTTGGCAGGGCTTTTGTCTCGGCGTAGCGGGTGAGGTAGTCGGTAGCTACCACGATCCACTTGTTTCCGAAAGTGGACGTCGGGAACGGCCCCAGTAGGTCCATACCAATCTGCTGGAAAGGTCGGCAAGGTGGATCAATTGGCTGCAGAAGTCCCGCTGGCCTTGTCGGCGGTGTCTTGCGTCGCTGACAGTCCCGGCATGTCCTCACATAACGAGTGACGTCGGTGGTAAGACGTGGCCAGTAGTACCTTTCTTGTATCCTCGCGAGCGTGCGGGAAACACCGAGGTGCCCTGCCGTCGGATCGTCGTGCAGGGCCTGCAGGAGTTCTGGTCGCAGAGCTGAAGGCACCACAAGGAGGTACTTAGCTCGAAGCGGTGAAAAGTTTTTCTTTTGTAGAAGACCGTTTTGTAGAAAGAACGACGCAAGTGCGCGCTTGAATACCTTCGGGACTTCGGCGGTCCTGCCTTCGAGGTATTTTATTAGGGCTTTAAGTTCCGGGTTGGCCCGCTGTCGTTCAGCGAAGTCGTCGGTAGTTATCGTTCCCAAGAAGTAGTCGTCATCCGAGTCGTCGGGTAGCGGTTGGTCGACAGGCGCACGAGAGAGACAGTCAGCGTCGGAGTGTTTTTTGCCGGACTTGTAAATGACAGTAATGTCATATTCTTGAAGTCTCAGGCTCCATCGTGCGAGGCGACCTGAAGGGTCCTTCAAGGTGGCTAGCCAACACAAGGCGTGGTGGTCGCTCACAACTTTGAAGGGCCTGCCGTAGAGGTAGGGGCTAAATTTCGACGTAGCCCAGATGATGGCGAGGCACTCCTTTTCTGTTGTGGAATAATTTGCTTCTGCTTTGGATAGCGATCGGCTGGCGTAACTAATAACCCTTTCAAGTCCGTCAGCCCTCTGCACAAGAACGGCGCCAAGACCTACGCTGCTTGCGTCAGTATGTATTTCTGTCTCGGCGAATTCGTCGAAATGGGCAAGTAACGGAGGCGTCTGGAGGCGATGTTTAAGCTCCTGGAAAGCGTGTTCCTGCGGCGTTTCCCACTTAAACTCCACGTCGGCCTTGGTAAGGTTAGTGAGAGGATCGGCGATGCGGGCGAAGTTTTTCACGAACCGCCTATAATAGGCACACAGGCCCAGAAATCGGCGCACGGCTTTCTTGTCAGTGGGCGGCGGGAAGTCGGCGATAGCGGCTGTTTTCCGTGGATCGGGACGAACTCCAGACTTGCTGATAACGTGCCCCAGAAACAAGAGCTCCTCATACGCAAATCTGCACTTTTCTGGCTTCAGTGTGAGTCCGGACGTCTTGATGGCTTGAAGTACAGCTTCAAGGCGCCGAAGATGCTCGTCAAAACTCGAGGAAAACACGACGACGTCGTCCAAGTACACAAGGCAAGTCTGCCACTTCAATCCTGCCAGTACTGTATCCATAACGCGTTGAAAAGTTGCAGGCGCTGAGCAAAGGCCGAAGGGCATCACCTTAAACTCGAAGAGGCCGTCCGGTGTTATAAACGCCGTCTTCTCTCGGTCTCTTTCGTCGACTTCGATTTGCCAATAGCCAGTCTTGAGGTCCATTGACGAGAAGTACTTGGCGTTATGAAGCCGACCAAGGGCGTCGTCTATTCGTGGGAGAGGATACACGTCCTTTCTTGTGATTTTGTTCAGGCGGCGATAATCGACGCAGAAACGTAGGGTCCCATCCTTTTTCTTCACTAACACCACGGGGGATGCCCACGGACTCTTGGACGGCTGGATAATGTCATCTCGCAGCATTTCATCAACTTGTCTCTTCATTGCCTCACGTTCTCGCGTCGAAACCCTGTACGGACTCCGACGGAGTGGTCTGGCATTTTCTTCGGTTATGATTCGATGTTTCGTGATTGGGGTCTGCCGAATTTTCGATGACGACGAAAAGCAATCTTCGTATTGCAGGAGCAGGGCCTTGAGCTGTTCTTGCTTATCGTTCGGAAGTCTGGGATTGACGTCGAAAGCTATGGGAGGGGCTTGGTTCCTCTGAGCAGGTTCCGCAGAATCGGCGAGGGCGAAAGCACTGGTGGCTTCGACAATTTCTTCGATGTATGCGACCGTTGTTCCTTTGTTCACATGTTTGTACTCATTGCTGAAATTCGTGAGCATAACCGTTGCTTTGCCTCCCCGCAGCTCTGCAATTCCTCTTGCGACGCAAATATTTCGGGTGACCAACAGATGCTGACTGCCTTCAACGACGCCTTCCAAGTCATGTGATTTAGGAGCGCCGACTGAAATAATGACGCTTGAGCGAGACGGAATGGTGACTTGTTCTTCCAGCACATTCAAGGCATGGTGTCCTGACGGCGTGCGCGGCGGTAGTGCTTCTTCTGTGGATAACGTTATCGACCTTGTTTTTAGGTTGATGACAGCACCATGGAGGCATAAGAAGTCCATGCCAAGGATGACATCTCTCGAGCAACGCTGTAGGATTACGAAGTCTGTAGGATAAATACGGCCGTTAATGGTGACTCTCGCTGTGCAGATTCCTGCAGGCGTTACGAGATGACCTCCGGCTGTGCGGATTTCAGGGCCTTTCCAAGCTGTCCTAATTTTCTTTAACTTCGCGGCGAACGACCCACTGATGACAGAATAGTCGGCTCCAGTATCGACGAGAGCAGTCACACTGTGGCCGTCGATAAGAACGTCGAGGTCGCTAGTTCGCCGTCTCGCATTACAGTTAGGGCGTGGCGTCGGGTCACGGCTGCGTCGGCTTGTTCCGCTGCTTCCATGTTGCGTCGTCCGGCCACCTTCGGTAAGTGAGCTTTTGCCTTCAGGGCTTTGCCTGGTTGGGGTTGTGTTCAAAAAGCTCCGTCGCGTCGGCGTCGTCGTCGGAGGATCTTCGGTAGTTCGTCGCACAGCAACCGCACCTCCATTGGTTGCTGCCCTTAGTTTCCCGGATTCGGGCTAGGAGACCGGCCCCGCGTTGGGCCAGAGTACTGCCGGGGGTGCGGTGACATGCGGCGGCTGGGCGACAGCGAACGGGAAGGACTTCGTGGTGTCCATTGAGTTCCTGCCAGGTAGTCGGCAATGTCACGTGGCCGAACTCCTGGCTGCGGACGCGGTGCATTGACGGCGAAGCCACGCAGTCCCATCTGTCGGTACTGGCAACGGCGGTATGTGTGCCCGGCCTCGCCGCAGTGGTAGCAGAGCGGGCGGTTGTCAGGTGCACGCCAAACGTCCGTTTTCCTCGGTGCACTGCGCTGGCCCGCTGGGGAACGGTAGGACGTCGGTTGGGGTGGTGGCGGCGGTGGCGTCTGGCGACGGAAGTGTGACGGGGCGGCGTTTCGGCGTGGACGGGGAGGAGCGTTGTGGCGCACTGCAGCGGCGTAGCTCATAGTTTCTGGCTCGGGCGGCGGTGTTTCGGGAATTCGAAGCGATTGCCGGACTTCTTCTCGCACAATGTCGGCGATCGAATCCACTTGAGGCTGCGCCGAAGGCAACAGTTTGCGCAGCTCTTCCCGCACGATCGCTCGGATCGTTTCACGCAGGTCGTCGGAGTCACTGGCTTGAGCAGCAGCGCATTCTGGAGTCAGGCGACGATTATACTGTCTGGTGCGCATGTCCAGCGTTTTTTCGATGGTGGTCGCCTCGGATACAAATTCTTGGACGGTGTTCGGTGGATTCCTCATTAGTCCCGCGAAGAGCTCCTGTTTGACCCCTCGCATGAGGAAACGAACTTTCTTTTCCTCAGGCATGTCTGGGTCAGCGTGACGGAATAGGCGGGTCATCTCCTCTGTGAAAATTCCAACCTTTTCATTTGGTAGCTGAACCCGGGTCTCGAGTAGAGCAGCGGCCCTCTCTTTGCGAGCGACGCTTGCGAACGTTTGAAGAAATGCGCCGCAGAAGACATCCCACGTTCGGAGCGTGGACTCCCGATTCTCTAGCCAGGTCCTTGCGGTGTCTTCCAGGTAGAAGTACACACGACGGAGCTTTTCTTCGTTGTCCCAGTGGTTGAGGGCGGCCACACGGTCGTATGTTTCTAGCCAGGTTTCCGGGTCTTCAAACGATGAGCCATGGAACGTTGGTGGTTCCCTGGGTTGATGAATGACGATCGCGGGCTGGGACGCTCCGGTTGTCATTGTCGCTGCAGTCGAGGTCATGGTCTTGGTCTTCCGCGCCTTGTCTTGTAGCAGGCCGTACTCCGGTGGCAGACCTTGCTGTCGGCGGCTCGTTCGCTGCTCTTGGTTGGCGTCGGTGTCTTCTCCGCGAAGGGGGCTGGGTTCACGGCTTGACGGGGGCGTCCGGTACATGAACGAAGCAGCACCTCCACCAGATGTCACGGGGTCGTGACGTGGCCAAAGACAGAAAACTTCGTGTTGGGATTTAACTGTTTATTTGGGCGAACCTGTGCCCGGTAAAGGGAAAGTCTAATTACAGCAGCAGTCTTGCACAGATAGCAGTCTCGGACTGATAGCGGCGAACGCAGCGTCGGCCTTCGATCAACAACCGACAAGCGGCGAAGCGCGTCGGCATTTATACCCTTGCCATCGAAGGTTCTAGCGTTATCGCTGGCGGTAGCGTAGGTTCCAGAACAATCTGTACCGTTCGCACAGTGGGCGTGATCTTATCGAAATGATCTACTACAGTCCGGAACCTTCTCGAAACCTGCAGGCGCGGTTTGCGCCGAGAATCGTGTGGTGTTTCTTAACGATAACAAAAACTTGTGAAATGGAACGTGGCAATATTAATGCGATTGCTTTACCGACATAAAGCCTGCCTAAGGCAAGTTTGCCAACAAGTCGCAAGCACCAGCGTAGCTCAATGGTAGAATACTGGATTGGCACCCAGCGAACCCAAGTTCGATCGCCACTATGTCTTTGGTGGTAGGTTTGCCAATAAGTCACAAGCGCCGACGTAGCTCAGTGGTAGAATACTGGGCTGGCACCCAGCAGACCTGAGTTTCGAGCCCCACTGTGTCTTTGGTGCTAGTTTTTTTTTTTTTTCTATTTGCGTGCGATGTGGTTACGGACAACAGGAGCGGCGGCAATGGGCAACTGCGCGTGACCCGAGTTGTGATCTTATAACAGCTTTCACTGTAAAAACGTGTACTAGTGGAGCAGCCATGAAGTGTTGAAAAAGACAACTGCAGCAGATATGGTCATCATTGGTTCCACATGGCACCAATTTTCTTGATCAGACGTTTTGTTGGTAAATCTCATTACAGTACTCTTCAAAGGTCACAAAAGGTTAAAGAGATTTGTGTTCTCACAAAAGCCATTTCATTTCTAGCCTATTGTATGAAAGTGAAATATAAATAAAAAACTCATAAGGTGCAAGGTTAGGCTTCTATTTTTGAAGGAGCCGGGCAAATGCTGTTTAAGTGCATAAAAATTTGCAGCAGCTTTCTCATCACTGTTGCAATGCTGGAAGTCTCAACATTAAGTGGTGCTGGAGGCTGAACTAACGCCTTGGGTTTACTAGAGCAACCAGTCAAAAGCATTATTCCAACAATTACTTCAATTTCTTTCTGCTCTAAAAACAAGTCAGTGAGCCCTGCCTGCCTGAACTCTACGTATGGGTAAAGTTATACCACAGCTGTTGTGGTCATAACATACACAAAACAAAAGTACTGTTGCCAGATCAATTTTAAGGATAGTTTATTCAGCAATGCGTCAGTTCGTACGCTGACCGGTACTAAACCTGGAAGATTACCTGTCATACTTATAGCACTTAAGATCTTGCTTTGCCTTCTACTGCAGCACATTCTCTGCAACTATACTGTACGGTACAGCTACAGTGGGTCGTCATGCATTTTCGCATAACTGTTTCTTGGCAATCACGAAAACTGCACTAAATTACAATAGAGCTGTTATGGTCGTAGTCTGCCTACAGGCATATATAGATAGAACGACGCGCACTAAAAACAAAATAAAAAAGCAAGCATAGCCATGTTTAGTATAATATAGTAAAAGGGTGAGAGAGAGAGAAAGCCCAGCTGAGCCACGACCAGCTAGGTACCCGACAGCTCTGCTGTGACGGAGCCTTGCGCGACTTATCGCAAGCCGTGCTTTTTTTTTTTTTCTTCTTCAAAACGAGAGACGAGTGCAAGGTTGCCTCCAGAGGTGGGGGGAGGTTCGTAGCTGCGTCCCCCTCTCTATTATGACTGTATGGCGCAGATCTTGCCCCCCCCCCCCCCCCCCCTCCTCGCACACGCCGAAGCGCGAGAGTTCAATGGCGATATCGAAACTGAGCGCGCGCCGGCCGCGCAGAAAAAAAAAAAAAAAAAACTGTAGCTAGCTGTTGCACGAGACTGCATAAATTACGTGAACACGGAGAAAACCAATGGCTAAATTTGGACCGATGTTTGTCGCTTCACGTGATCACGTTGTTCGCCCGCATTTTTCGGATTAGGCGCCAAAACCCACGTTGCGTAAGTTTTGTTGCACTTCTAGTCCCCGCCGCGCCAAGCCGGACCTTGAAACCTGCGCCATTAGTGGTCCGGTACTGCAAATTCACAGCTCCTATTTGATCTGCTTAGAAGCGAAAACATCGAAAACGGAACAGCGCACTTTTTTTCGGCATCACATGCACCGTGCGTCAGTTCAGTGGCAGAGACATACGAGCGAACACCAGCAAGAAATCGATTTCGTCGTCTCACCGGGAAATTCCTTGAGTTTTGGACAGGAAGATGCAAAGCAAACAGCATGTTGTCCACAGCACAGCGAGAATAAAAACGCCGATGCCAACGTCGAACACGCGTGGGCTGGCCATGCTTACCGTCAACATGCGTTGCCATGGCAACAGACGCTCGCAATCGGTCGAAGCTGAACCACAGCACACCGGCTGAGCAGAGCAGACTTCCCGAGAGCTACACCCGCTGGCAGGGTGTAGATCAAGTAAAGCTGTCGCCAAGGTGACAAATCTACACGCTTTAGGTGTAGAGTACTTGGGGCCACCAACGGCACCGCCTGCTGCCATCGTTGTCCGAGCACGCATCTCTCGATAACAGCAGCCTTGTTGAACGATGCCATGCTTACAAGACTTCGATGTGGCGTGGCCATTCAGTCATGGCGCTTGAACAGAACTTGATTCACCCGTTGATACGGCCCAACATAACCGAGTGGCACAGCCAAGTGGTAGCACACCGGGCCCATGGTCCCCCACCCCTTTTATGCTATAACATACAATTACTCTGCCACAGCTGTGCCATCATACAGCTACCACGTCGGGGTAATCGTCAACTACTGAAGTTGGTCTCAATAGCTGCATTCGTGGTTACCATCCTTGCAAGCACTACCATTTCTGGTCACCAATGTTGCTCTTGGCATTGTTACAAAACTGCAAACTTATTACATTAAAAAATATGATTGTTTTTTGTAATATGTTTAGCACTCGAAGAAAAAAAATGACACCAGTCACCTTCCCTCTGCATGCTTCACACGACATTGATTCCCGTGGTATGTGGTACCTGCCGAATTGTTTGTTACTCTAACTGAGATATGCCAGACTTAAGTGTTTGTATAGGCATCACAAAACAAGTGATATTGCCTAAACGTGCAGCCATAATACAAACAACAAGTAGGAAGCGTAGGCAAAACATTTTTTAATGAAGGGCAGCATCTACTTTGCAGATACAGACGTCTTCATCTTGATCTGTGCTGCAATCCGGTCCAAATCTTTCCTGCCTTGACTGGTCAGCTTGCGGCCACTGGAACACACAGAAAGATAAGACATGCATCTAACCAGAAACATTTATGTTCAGACAGTTCATGCCTTAAAAGGGCCCTGCAACACTTTCTTCAGCGAGGTCGGAAACGCTGCTGATCAGCAGTCAAGGCTCCAGAGAACAGGAGAGCCCATAGCGCAACATTTTGCCTAGAAGTTACAATTAATTCTCAAAGTCTGCCGAAATTCACTTGCTCTTCTATCCACAAATGCCATATACCCAAATTTATGGCCACTCGATTATGTGAGCATTGTGAGCACCACAGTTATTGTAGTTGTGGCCATGTGCCCATGCTGACACCGAAATTAAGCAGGGCATTCAAGGAAAAAAAAAAGTGCTCAGTCATGATGCATGAGTGTGGTATAAGTTCCTTCCCGTGCACCATTCCTCCCTACTTGGCTTCCAGCACGCTCATAAGGACAATGAGAACAATCCGAGCATGTGACAACTCCTTCCCTTGCACTAGACAGATTGAAGAAAAAAAAGTTTTGCACCGGTTAATTTGCAAGGTAAAATCTTTCAATGTCGATAGTTACTTGGAGAAGTGTTGAAGGGCCCCTTTAAATCATAGCCAAATGAAAAGGAAGGCAAGCACATGACCTTACCATACAATATTAAGAAAATGCAATAGTGTGTTTTGTGCTAAGCATTGTAGTCACTGGTAAGTCTTGCACAAGGCAATAAGACTTCATATTTGAGAGTGTGAAGTGGAGCCACAGAAAGATCAGACAATTCTTCAGACGTTTAACTGCAAAGTCCCACGGAAACAGGAGTATTTCCTATGGTATGGTATAGTAGCTTTCCATTCATTCTGCAATTTGGTACATGTGCAATTGAACAGTTATTGGCAGAACAAGGACTGATCAAGAAAGACCTAACAGCCAACCTTGTCATAAATTAACTCTTGGTCTTCAAAGCATACGAGTACACCTGGGCAGTCTCAGCAGAGCTCTGAATTAAGGATGAAGTGTAAAATGTACGCCTGCAATATTTTAAGGCTGCCTTGGATTGGCGACCAATCAGAAGTAGGCAAAGGTGTTGCCATTGCTTTCCCTCCCAAGTTATAGTGCGCAAAGTTTGTGTGGCTCAGCATTTAGAGCCCGACAGTTTTCAATCCTAAAATTGCTCACCCGCTTGGGTCCTGCTCAACCAGCTTCAGCTGTTCAAGTGCTTGGAGGGCCTTGCGCGCCACACTGGCGGAGGCGGGGCAGAAGTGAGATGGGCGAACGCCCCGGCGGTACCTGCCACCATAGATCTTCCGCATAGACTTGACACCAGATGGAGACCGCATGTACAGGTGCCGTGCCACAGATGCTGTGGTAATAGGGGCATAGAGGCAGAAGGCATCTTTCACATTTTTATCAACACCGAAATTGCAATTTCGAAAAATAAACATCACTTTATGCAAGCTTAACTGTTGGCTTAAGTTAATCTGTATTTTGGCAGCTCTTCAATTCATATTCTGCTCACTTTTTCTCCCAGCATAGGAGGCCAATTCTAGAGTCAATTCCTTCGAGTCGTACAACTTGCACATTTTCTTCTATTATATTTTCCGCACCTCTTGCCTGGTCGTCTGACAGCCCTACACAATAACTGGATTGATACCTAAAATGGGCACTGCACTACGAGTACCTTAGCAAGCATTTGTGGCAAGTGAAGAGAAATTTCAACAAAATATGAGGAAACAGTAGTTTACAAACATTTCTAAAAGCTTGACAATTCAATGACTTCAGGATATGATTGAAACAGCATCAATGTTCCATACAACTAGACGTGTCGTGGCCAAATTATTGCTCATAATATATATGACAACCTACCTGTAGGTTATACATACATTATACACTGAAACATACATTATACACTGAAATTAAGCAATACAGAGTAGGTTTTTGCGAGTGGGTGCTTTGTCACTACTTGCAGTGACAGTCACTACCTGAAGGTGGATGACCGGCGATGTGTACCCATGGCATAGAGACACCAAATAATTTTCACAAAAGGTACAGAAAAAGTCTCTCGAAGTTAGTAGCATATGTGGGGAGGGATGTGCTCCCGGCGCCCCCCACCTTCTCTCCATAGTTCAGATGAAGGGGAACCAACAATGAAAATAGATGTTCTTACAGCCATTTACTAAGCGTCCCCCCCCCCCCAAAAAAAAAAAATTCTGCCTGTGAGCCTGACAGAAGTCATGCCAACAAACTCGAACATTTAGAATTACAAATGGATGCTAGCATGCTCTAGTCATTCCCAGCAACATCAACCATCACCTGCATAATGCAGGCACACAGTGCGCAGCTGCTTTGAGCTGTAATCTTTTTTTCACTTGAGTTTTTCCTGCCCACACAAGCTATTTGGTTTAGATATCCGATTATGTCAAAAGCTTAACCACCTTAATTTTGGGCATTGAATAGACCCACTATGGAATGACGAAGTCTACAGAAATTGAGCACAGCATTATTGGCGGCACGGATTCTGCTGAAATGCTCCATTTTCACCAGCCACAATCGAATGACGATGTGCGAAGTGGGAAAGATGGACGACACCAAGGTCTACAGTATGCCTTCAAACAAACCTGACATCAATAAATCTGCGCCTACACTCACAAACGCTTCCTCCGTGATTCTAGCACCTATTGTAAGGTCAAAACTTCTACGCTTGAAACCTGAACAGCTATGCAAGGCAGGCAAACAGATACTCTCTACGAGGTGCCTAGTGCCGCACGTCCGTCAACGTCATTCGACTCACCGCATCGTGTGTAGAACCAGTCCTCATCGTAAGGGGCCAGCTCCTTGTAGATAGCAGTCTTCACTACATCAACCCAGTCTGGAACCTTTAGCTTGCCGGACCTGACGGGCAATCAAAATTGAGTCAGTATGCTAGGCCTTCCTGCGGAGAGCTCAATAACATGGCAGAATGATCTCTCGACGCTTACTTTTTGAGGAAGGCAGACAACGCCCGCACAAACGCCTGCTGGTCAACGTCTTTGACTCCGACAGAAGGCATCTGAAAGGAGCAATCGGAAACATAAGTCAACACTACGGTCTACATTTACAAATGATCACCGGACACAACTGCACGTCACATGGCAGATGCACCAGCGCCGACATCAACGATGCCCTTGTAACTCACTTAACTGGCTCAATAAGTGAACCGCAATAATCAAAGAGCACGCAGAATTACGGTGCTTACAGTAATGTAGCCTTTTTTCTGTTTTCAAAATGCTAAAATTGGGCTAGTTAACTAGGCCTAAACATACCTTGCCGGCGCTTGCGAAGGAAAAGGAACGAAACGTGTGTGGGCGCGCAATGTATGCTGGGAAAATTCGGCACTCGCGCCATCTGCAACCTTTGGAATAACCAACGCCTCCTAGATTTCTTGTGCCTGCCGGGTGAGCGAAAAACGCCGGTCATCTATAGCGGCGCTGCCTACGTAGGAATAAGGGTCTTTGTACTTGGCCTTTGAGATCAGCAGTTTTAGCGTTTGTTACTAATTTCAGAGGGTGCCTTGTATTGAAAACGTTATTTGCTGAATGACAGCGTCACTTACGTAGGATTAATTATAAATACGTTTACGCTTTTTCTAACTTTTTACGTTATTTTTGTTGCATATAAGCTCCAAAAACTTAAAAATTTATTTGAAGGCTTTCCCTACTTGAGTGGCGTCACCACCATAGTTCCGACGACGTTGGAATAACTTAATATTTATCTTTCCACCCAAAGCCACATCATTACACCAAAAACAATATTGTGATATGATACAACTTTCCTAATAAATGTTACTAAAAGCCATGTTGATGATTTACCTTTTGCGAAGACGCTGTGCACCAGGCAACATGGCAGCCTCCATGAGCGTTTGAACGGGCAGCGTGCTGAAATGCGAGTTGTTTTAGTTTTATGGTGATCGCTATTAATAGTGAGTAGGTCACCTCGTTCGTGCTAATGCTACGTAATGTGCTTGCTGCATAAACATCTCGCTATTCATGTGCGAGAACGCTGTTTTTATTTGTTGAAAATATATCGCCAACACTCGCCCTCCGCGGTCAAGTCCGTAAAATTCTGACTTGTGTTGCTGAAGTCTCCTGCTTGACGTTAAGGCTTTAGAAGAGCTCCTAAAATATAATTGAGTGGGTGGCGCAGGATTTTTAGGGCAACCGAGTTACAATAGTTGTGATTATAGCACTACACGTTTTCATTCGTGGCGTTTGCATAAATTGCCTAGCAAGAACTTGCCTATTGCAAGTTCTTGCTCTCTTGCAGCTGCCACACGGGCGCTTTTTACCGCGATCAAGCCCCAATTGTGGTCGAATTTCTCAATTGCGAGCTCTCCCGTTCGCATCGTGCTCAAATAAACCTGTCGTTAAATTAGGTCGCGATGATCGAAAGTGCCTGTTGGCTGGTCGCCTCTGAAGCCGGAGCTGAACCTGAAACCATGCATTCGACTTGTCACCGAGCTTCGTCATAACTGAAACTAGGACATCTCTTTTCCTTCGCAGAAACCTGTAGTCACTTGGCTTGCGAAGAGAGGTGCAGCTTTGTCACCGGTGTGCCTGCACGATGAGGTTGAGTGCGGTGTTGCGCATACAAAACGAGATCTACTTCCGAAAGAGGCTATGGAAGAACAGAAAAACCTTGCGCAAAGTGCACAAGTTTCCCACGCCGCAGCCACTCCTGGACATGGGGGTCGAAATTCACGACGCTCTCCAGGTCGCCGCAAACGAATTCGTGCCGGAACCGTAAGTCATCTCGCACTCCTGCATTAACAACTGGCATCTTGGAGAAATTAGCGCGTTACGTGAAATTAAAACATACCATGTAAAACTAGTTTCACATACATCAGGTGCAACGTCCTCTCGATTTGGCTGCGATATCTCTGCTAATGCTCGATATCGTCTTGTGTAGTGTTTCACAAGTTCTTTTGTAATGCGAGTGCCGCATCTCACCTGCGTGTGCCTCATTGTGCAAAAAAGAAAAAAAAAAGTACAGCAGTGAATGAGCTGTGGTCATCTAGTTGCAAAGAATAAGCGTCTTGCACATGCTGGTGTAGGAATTTGAAGCATATTTACCTTTTGCTATCTGTGACATATATGTTTTGATAATACAAGGTAAACAAAGTCTGCCCGAGAAGGTAAATTACACACATACAAGCAAGTGAGAAAAGAAAAAAAAACCCAACTGGAAGGTATACGACATGCTGTATCCTTTTGTTTACTTGCTTCAACAACTGGACCTTAGGATCTCTGAATATGTACTCCTTCCACTGAGTAGGTCATATTAATGGAAAAAAAAAATAGTACAGAACACTGCTGTCCCCGCATTACTATGTGACAATAACAGCACTGTGTGATCTGTTACAAAGGAGGCTTTCCTGCTACGGTGGGCACAAAAGTAGAACACTGAAAGCTGGACAAGTCGAGACTGGTTCGTTCTCAAATAACTATCTCTTTTTTTTCCCACTTGAAACTCGTGTATAAGTCATTGTTGTATGCCATTGCTCTGAAAAATTAGAGATCAGAGATCTGCACTTCCTGTATTAATGCAGAAACAGCATCGAATTTTTTCAGTGAGGTCTAGTAAGAAGCCTTTAAAACATTGGAATATACTCGTCAACAACTGTGAAGTCCCTCTAAACACCAAACACTTTGGAAGAGGTAAAGAAACGTTTGCTTTAAACGTCGTGATGCATTCATGCGTATTTCTAAAAAAAAAAGGAAGTTTAAGTTTGCACTTGATATAATAAAGGGGAGGGATGTAAAGAGGAGCTTGAGTGGGCAGTTAGATTTATCAACTAGAAAGTTAGCCCTGCTGTGAGTGTAGACATTGTGAGTGTTGGTAGGAGTAGCATGGGCTAATGCAGCCCATGCTACTCCTAATGTCACTAATGCAGTACCCCTAACTGGTGATGATGTCAACTTAGTTAATTACAAAAGAAGCCACAAAATGTTGAAATCGGAAAAAAAGCAGAGCGGAAGAAACAGAAAGCAGAGACGTGGCACTAAAAACTGACATTTATTTTGGAAAAACCTTTTTCCCAAATCTATGCAACGCATGCGCAGATAACAAACCAAAAAGCCAGCTAACATAAGCAGATCACCTCTGTGCTAGAAGCAACCATTCTTTCCCTGGTAAGATAGTCTGAAGCTGCACTAACACATTTGTCTGGAACAAGTTTCCAGATATGGAATGCCTCAATAATCTCCTGTTCTCGCTGCATGTTAGCCTTACCTGAAATTGTAACCTTGTCAAACAGAGGGCGTTCATTCACACAAGTTGCAATGCAACGGCAAGTTACTACCAGTGCCCGAGGGTAGAAGTTTTGCTTTCTCCCTCAACCGAATATTGACATATCGACCAGATTGTCCAAAGTAAAACTTGTCACAACTTAAAGGGGTACAATACACCACACATGTGTTACACATGCAGTATTTCTTAACATGTTTTATGTCGCCAATCTTGCTTCTTGTGTCGAGCTGCACAACCCTCTTACAAAGACCCATGAGTTTGCTTGGAGACCAGTTTTACACCAATCCTGGCCGCAACCTTTTTTAATCTGTGTAATATGCCATGTACGTACGGCATAATCACAAGGTTCTTTTGTTCTCGAACACCACCATCACTTCTGTGTTATACTTTGAGGTGCTTAAACGCGTATTTAGCAATGGACATTATCAACGAGTTCGGGTAGCTTGTGAGTTTGGTCCAGACAAATGTGTTAGTGCAGCTTCGGTTTATCTCACCAGGAAAGAATGTTTGTTCCTAGCACACAGGTGATCTTTTTAGATTAGCTGGTTTTTTGCTTTGTTATCTGCGCATGCGTTGCATGGACTTGGGGAAGAAATAAACGTGAGTTGTTAGTACCACGTCTCTGTTTCTGTCGCTCTGCTCTTTCCAGTTTCGATGTTTTGTGGCTTTTTTTGTAGTTAACTTAGTATGTACCAACTTACCCAACTAGCAACTCTTCTGGATGATGTCAACAACTTGTGCTGCTGCAGGTTTGACCTTCCCGAGCCCCATGGCATACCGAATGAAAAGCGCCTGGATAGCAGGAACCCTGACTGGCATGACCAGGAGGCCTACATTGTGCACAAAAAATCTCGTCTCCTAGAAGGTCGGTCCTGGCACTTTGCCATCTGTGGTGGGAATCTTCATGTGCCTGGGTTTTACTCCCTCTGTTGGCTGAATCAAGGGAAGGACTCACAGTGTCTGCATAATTTTGTTTGGAATCTGCAGTATGTTCATGTTAAATCAGTGCTGGTCAGCGACATTGCCCTGACGCTGTAAACCAGAAGTATACAAGCTTGCCTGCTACACCAGCTGCTTTTCTTTAGGTGCACCAACATTTTAAAATTATACCATTATGAATGATGACGTTATTGATGCCGTTTGAGTGCCCAGATGAGTGGCTTTCACATATAGAATGGTTAGTGTAGTTTTGTGCTAATTAACATAACTAGATTCATTAACTTTTCAATTATTCAGCTTGAATTGGTAAAGTAAATAATTAGTTAAACGCTCATGCTACAATCGATCTAGTGGAGGAAATAAACTTTCTGTAATAAAGTGTGGTCATGTTTTTTTTTTTGCATCATACAGTATTATTATTTTATTTATCACACCACTGTCGGTGCTGCTAAGGCATTACACAAGCACTCTGAAATTAAAACTGATGACAGCCCTTGTATGTGAAACTGATGCACCAAAAGTACACCTATATGGCCTTGTAGTAAACTTATCGGGAAAAAGGCATGTGTATATTGGGGTCCTTATTCAGGGAGTCCAAATACTAAGAAGAATTAGAGCAGCTCATTATCATCATCATCAACTTGACTATTGTTGAACTTCAATGGCAGAGTCGGAGCAAGTTTTTCTGCTCCTTTCAGAGCAAGTGTGTTCCAATGACAGAGTGAGAGTCAAAAGTTCCAATGAGAGAGCAGGAGGGGATTCAGAGCGGGAGTCCCTCCAGGAGCAGGAAAAACTGCTCCGCCGAAATCGGTGGAGTGGACCGGAACTCAGCGTGACGCATTTCCTTTAACACGTTTGCCTGCTTGGGGGCACGGCTGGCGCCGCGCCAGCCGCGCAAGCATCACGCAAAGTTGTGTTGATAATGGCGGACGGCATGGATGGCTCGGCTACCTCAGCAAAGCGTGCGGCAATGCTTCTGCTACTCGATAGCGACAGCAGACATCATGGACAATAGCTGTTGCACGCTTGGCGTGATATCCATTCCACACAGGTGAATAGCGCTGAACAAGCAAACGAACGATGCGGCGATGCTGGTAAACCACGTGGGAAACAGACAGCGGAAAAGACCACGCGCAAGGTATCCTGGGTAACGCGGCAGCTTCCGCCTTGCTCCAGCAGGGCGGGTTGTGTTCCGATGGCGGATTTGGAGGATTTGCTCTACGCCAGAGTCGAGTGCTCGCTCGCGAAGTCGGTCGGCTGCACCGACTCCGCCATTGGAATTCAACATATGTCCACTGCAGGAAAAAGACCTCATTACCAAGCACTATTAAATTTTCTATTTTGTCGTGCTATCGTGCTGCTTGCGATCTACCATTATATATGTGTATGCTTTGGGTCATGATTTATTGTTCATTTGCACAGAATTTAGTAGGTGTGATCAGTGACTGTACTTTATTGGTCAAAATTAAGTCATAATATGAGCTGGTCTGCTCCAGCATATGGACACACCTACACATACATTCACAACATTCGTGCCAAGCTCTAGAGGTAGGAAAAGCAAACTGCACTTAAAAGACAGGTCACTTTGAGATCTATATTTGTTGGCTGGCCATCTTGTGTGCACTCGGCAAGTGGTACGATTACTGTGAAAGGAATTGGTGGTGAGTGAGTATGCAATGCGCTTTTTAAATAATCTCTTTGCTTTTGCACCAACACCAGGGGACAAGCATATGTGTCTGCTGACCAAGACGGTCCGGTATGATGGCCTCCCCACAGCACTTTTGGAGCATGTCAGGTCGCACACCCTCGGAGCAGCTCAACAGGTGGCTGCCAAAGAGGCTCTTGCACAGGTGCACTTGTACGACTGCACCCAGGTGAAACTGCCCAGGAAGATCGACCTGACCCAGCCCCACATGAGGTTTCCACGAGAATTTGGAGTACCCGTGTATCGCAAGGTGTAAGTTTGTGTGTCTCAATTTTAGCCCATTGAAAGAAAAGGCACTATGCTGCTTTTATAGAAAGGTGTTAATTTGTTTACAACTTGTGGTCATCAGCCCAAAAATAATTTGTCAAAAGTTCTCTCAATGCGTATTTTGTAGCGTCTGTAACTACACTGATACCCTTACCCACATACCTCACCCGTGTGGAACTATTAGCACGCAAGCCTATTTTGAACCTAAACTGGAATTTGCCGCAAATATATAATTGCTTTGCAAATTTTTTTTCCATGTCTAATGCCTGAAAATTGTCCCGAGTGATCCACCAGTTTTAGAAAACTAATTGTAGCAGTGAAATCAGCTTTCTATCATTTTTTTTTACTGTGTAAATAGGACTTTTGTTGAATTGGTTTTTTTGAGACAACTACTGGTTAAAATTTTCTAAGTGATGAGGCCGCAATTACACTTTACATTCACTTGCTGTATGGGCCCACATATGTTGCTTGTTATCAGAATACTAATTATTTGGTACTGTGCCTTGATCCCACAACTCCAATAGCTTCAGCTACTTTGTACAGACCATGCGGAGCTCATCAACGCACATTAGCTTTTAGGGCCATTCCAACAGCCGCAACGCACGTGCTGGGACCCCTACAGCACGCAAGCGGGGGACTAATAAGCCAATTGGCGATGCTGCGGAGGGTGAAAGAGCGTGGCCAATTGGCTTATTTGTCCCCCGCTTGCGTGCGGCAGGGGTGCCGGCGCGTGTGTTGCAGCTGTGGGGGTAGCGCGTGTAAAGGCCATTACACCATTATGTTTTGTAAGCGATCACAAAATTTGGCAGTCATTTGTGGTATAGTTGTTGCACTTGCATTTATTGTCAGTCTAGCTCCTGCATATTGTCACGAGGTTGTGATACACGCAGCACTTGAGAGGAAGCACGCAGGAGTCAGGGCGGTGTCAGGCGAACTGTTTATTGGGCGATCTTGTGCCCAGCAAAACAGGGCCAAACACAACTCACAGCAACAGCGGCGTGAACAGTCGTCGGCCGACGGAAAAAAAAAAGACCCCCAGTGGCGCACTGCGCCGGCTTTTTATACACGCGTCGTAACGCGTTCCAAAGTGGCATACAAGATAAACGCGGCCTGCGTTGCGCTTAACAGAAAGTGATAGCGTCTTCCTTCGCAAACGAAAAGGACCGCACGTGTCAGTTTTTTATACACGCGTCGTAACGCGTTACAGAGTGGCATACAAGATAAACGCGGCCTGCGTTGCGCTTAACAGAAAGTGATAGCGTCTTCCTTCGTAAACCAAAAGAACCGCACGTGTCAATATAGACTTTTCGAAGCTGTCTGGCCAGTGCTGCTTTTTTAAGTGTCTATAAACAAAATAATGCAGTTAAGCCTTGATATAATCAAGTATTTCACTTGTATAGGCTTGTGTGAATGGGGAAATTTAAGTTGGAAGCAAATAGTCATTTGGTGGAATGATTTTGAATCAAATAGTATCGTATAGTACTTAGAGTAAAAAAAACTGGGCATGTTAGTCATGACTGAACTGACCTGCACAATATTCTTTTTAATTGAAACAAGGCAAGGGCAAATGTCTTTTTTTTTTCTTCAAAGGAAGTAAAAGTGAGTTTGAATAGTAGCAGGATTTGACTTTCGCAAGAATACAAGTGATAGCCTGTAAAATATGCCAAGTTATAAAATTAACTATACTTTGAGATCTAAGCCAGTATAACAAGTTTTAAATTTAAAAAATGATAAATCGTTGTGAGGGTAATGTGCTCACATCGATTGAAGTGAAGATTTGCGGCAGTGTGGCCTTTCTCAGCCTTGTGTAGGCATTTTCATGGCTTAGCTCACCTTTACTGCAGCGAAACCACTTTTACAAAGGAATTACTTTCCAACTAATACATTCAAACAATTGTTTTCACGGCCTAGCACTCATTCACTGCAGTGAAACCACTTTTACGGGAAATGTGTACTAATATTACACATTTATTCATTCATTTTGAATACTGTAATATTCGTTTGAATATTTACACAAGCCTTCTTGACATAACTTGTCATAACTTCATGTCCATAAAAGCCACGAAAGCCCTCTTGTACTTCATAAGGACCACCAGACTTCACGAGCGCTTGTGAAAGAACAGTGTGAGACCATGCTGTGTAGTCCCGAGCTGACTATTCGTCCTTCTTTTTCTTACTCCTCTTCTTTTCTATCTCTTTCCTTTCAATTATTCCCCCTTCCCCCCCCCAAGTGCAGGGTAACCAACCAAGCCAAGCTTGGTTAACTTCCCTGCCTTTTCTCTCTATTTATCTCTCTCTTTCTCTCTTTTCTGCGATTTTATCATAATCAAGTTCCACTTCTGTCCCAGAAAAAGACCAACATAATAAACTGAAAGCCTTGCTGGGGCCAGTGGGGATATGATTGAGTTGCATGCGGTTTTGGTGGACACATATTCTACATCACCTCAGTGCATTAGAGCTGCATTTCTTTTGTGTTCAATCTAACGGTTGGCACCTGTAAAGAGGGCTTCTTCGCTGGTGCAGCATCAAGCTTCTGTTGCCACATCTCAGGTGTAAGAAAATTGATCTTTTTTTTAATGCGCATGCATTTATTAGTTAGGGATTGTTAGGCGTCTCTTGGTGTCCGCGAGCCAGCAGGTGTTATCTCTCCGCACGTGCTTATCTTAGCCCCTAGCAACCTGAGCAGTTGGTGCTGGCAGAGAAGCATAGAGTGAGCGTAGAGGAGGAGCGCGCTCTGGAATGTGAGGGTGCTTGCATTGTGGGAGCTCGGCAGAGTTCCCGCATGTGTGGAAAAAAGTGTAGAAAAGTGTAAGTGCAGTGCTTCGCCACTCCTTCTCTCAGTTCGCTCTCTCTCCTCCTTATGCCCCACTCTCCCGCCCGCTCGCTCAAACGTATATATGAATGGAGCGGAGCGCGCGCGCCTTTTTCTCGATGGTTCGCGGGCTGATGAATATGTAAATAAATGGCTACAATACAAATCCTCGTCTCCTCGTTAATTTAAGTCACTAAACTTACTATGCCTTATACTCCCTGCACAAGAAATGCATTCGCATTTTCTCACGATTTCGTTTGGGGGGGGAGCAATTTTTTCATGTTACTGCAATGAGCTGTCTTATTATTTAAGCATTCTACAGGTACTTCACATGTTAAAAAGGAAGTCTTTGGTGTCTTTATTTTTGCTTACAAAATTGAATTTCAGTTTGACGAATTTTTCATATAACATTGGCAATTCTATCGACTGTAGTCTAGACCCAGCAAACTGCCATGGTGGTACAGCTTGCTGAAAGCTAGGAAAGCACATGAAATTGTAGTTTACCAATCAAAATAAGTATTGGATTTAATCAAAACAACTGACATTTTTCATAATTACCAACAAAAGAACGGATGTGGAGAAGACACATACTTTTAGACTGCTAGAACATGCTTTCACCATCTGCAAAGTGGGCAGGGCATCACTTCAGGTCACTTCACTCTTTGCTGTTGTCAATGAGCCACTTATAAAACATTTGAAGTGTTTTTTTTTTTCCTGCAAAAGCCACTGTGCCAGAATTGCGACAAAAGTATTGGCCATTACCTGAAGTAACTGATTTTTTTTAACTTACCTGGATTAAAACAATAATTGCTTAAACAAAACAGTCATGCTGTCATGTTGCTGTAAACTAATAACACCAGCTATATAAGGAGAGTAGTAACCAGTTCTCACTGTACTGTAGAATAATACACACAAACATTCCACTACATTGCAAATTTGCCACTTTTGGAGGCTACATTGTCGTGTAGGTTAAGATAGCAATCATTCAAGAAATACTGTTGGTACTATGCTAACATATGGTTTTAAGATGTCATATGTCGCCACTTATTTGTTCTGAGCAGAATGTTTCTTTATATCTTTGTTCTGTTCACTACAGGCAAAAAAAAAAAGGGGGAGTTCTTTTTGCCCACAATCATAGCAGGCTCCCTTGAAAGCTATACTGCTTTGTTGCCATTTAATTCTTTCAGTTTTGGGCCTTTTGCCTACTTAAAGTTCACTCCTTTGTGGTCTGCAGTTCTCACGTGCTTGCCAGCTATCATCATTTGTGTGAGAAGTTGACCAGCCAAGTTCCAGAGGTTATGGATCGTACCCGTCTTTCTGATGTAGTCAGCAATGTCTGTTTCCAGAAGGCAGGTGTGTATCTGATTCGCCCTATTCTTCTTTTTGCTTGATTGCTTGTTAATATCTTTACTATCTAGAGGTACTAAATCATCGTAGTGCAGGTAGTATATTATTAAAGCAGGCCTGAACTATTGTGACCCTCGGCTGCCCCTGTTTAACCATGCTTTGCAGATGGGAACACTGTGGTGTTTACAAGTGAGGTCGACACCCTGACCACGAGCAAGGTTCCACTGAGTGCCTTTAACACCCCCGAGGATGTCAAGGCTACGGCGGACATGGCGATGCCGGACCTGTACCCTGCCAAGTACACACTTGACTTGGACAAGGGCCACATTTATCGTATGGACGACATTTACCGTAAGTCAAAGAAGAGCAATGGCTCTGCCAAAGGGGCCACCTATGTTCTTGTACCATCCTTCTTTCTTTCTTCTTTCTTTTCTCTCTATTTTTTAAGTTACTGCTCTCCTCCTTCTGAGATATCACTCTCTATGTCACTGTTGGCGAGAATACAGTAGAATATGCCCGCATTTCGATAGCTCTCTCTTCCTCCTCTTAAGTTTAGTGATCTGCTGCGAAATCCTGCTCCTGGTAGTGCAGGTTATACTTTCTGGCGTAGTGTATACCAGGACCAAATTTGCATGCTTCCTAAGACATTGCACTGTAGCCATCATTTGCATTCAGTTGTATTCATATTTTATGATTTAACATTCACAAACTGTTGATCCTGGTGATAGCATTGACAGAACATCTTGAACTTGTCAGAAAAAGGCATGACTAGGAATTCAATAGTAATGGAGTCATTGGATTATTCTATTCCTGCTGTCTCAAGTGGACCACTGGGATATGTGCACTTTGAAATAGAAGTATTATAGGCAGTGTTTCAATACTTCGTTTTAACTTAGTATGTTTGACACAAGGTTTTACTTTTGTACAGCTGCAATTTTAAAGCCAAGGCTGTGCTTTAAAATGTGTCATGTTAGGGCGTTTCCACATTTATGTTATTATAAAATTGGTCCAGACAGTGGTACTGGGGTGACAAGTTACATTCATGAGCTAATTGGGTACTTATCATATCAACAAACATGGCATAAAGATGTTTTAAAAGCTTTTATATGAAAGAAGCACTGTGCTAGTTTATGTCAGGTTAGGTTAGGGGGTGAGGAAATAAAATGTGAGTGCTTAAAAAGTGCTAAGCAAGAATTACCGATGAAAGGAATATTACTGAAATGACTAACCTATACAGTGCAGACCGTCTATAACGTAACCATCTTATAGTACAGAACCTGGTTACAACGTAGTCTTTTTCGGCTCCCGGTTACCCTTCCATTGAACCCTATGTATACTTGTACCGCTCATTGTTCAGCCCTCCCAGATGAAAGACCAGTTATGATGCAGTTGCTGGAAAGTATTTTTGACAAAAGCAGTAGCGGGTGCACTTTTCAAATGAGTAGCACCACTGGGGAGCGAGCGACGAAGTGATTGCGGAGGAGGAGGGCACACAGCATGAACATACAAGGGGCGAAGGGTGAAAAAAGGAAAGGGAAAAAAAACGTGGCAGGTGCTGTGCGGGCTCACCGAATGAGGGCGGAAGGCGGTTGCCTAGGGGACGGAGAAGCCTTTGCACCGCTGTCGGCATGGTTCCGGTTGCCTGTCGGCCCCACACGCTCTGCATGGCACGTGCGAGCATGACCTCTTCAAAGTGCCCTTCGAGTTTCCTGTCGAGAAAAGTGTCATCGTTATCATGCATACGATATTGCATTTGCTACCTCATCTTTAGACGTTTTATGCCCATATGATGCAAGTTTTTGCCTTTGCTGCCAGTGCATGGACTTACATAACCTTAGGGGGCTTTTGTTGTCATTACCTCCCAACCATGAGCGCAAGTTTTGTATCATGCACGTTGCTCTAAGTTCGGTGCTTTTTGGCACCCAATCTTCATGTTGTGAGGGACAAACTTTCTGCGACAGCGTGCAGAGTGGCAGGCTAGGCCTAATTTAGCACTGGCTGCTTTTCAGTAGCTGTTGCAGGCTATCAGAGTTGCAGTTTGGTACCGAATCAATGCAACTCTTTGCAGCGGCTGCCCTTAAAGGGAAAGGAATGTATATTGTCAATGAAGACGAGGCCATGGGTGCAACGTGTAACACTTTAATAGTGGTTCGTGGTTCGTTCGCAGTATCTTGACATCGGGTGTGCGCCCGTGAAAAGAAACAATTGGTACTGCTCAGTACGTAAAATTTTTGTCATAATTAGACATCGAGACACTCTGAAAGGTAGTCATTGAGTTTTTATGTTGGTGCTTCTTTTGTTAGTCCTCCCCCCTCTCCTTGGGTTAATTTCGTTTGTAACGCAGGTCTTTGGACGTTTATTTTTTAAAATTCAGAAATTTGTATGGTTGTAAGCACCACATGTCACATGCCTCCATTCTCCACGTCACATGCGAGGCTGCGTGCTGAACACATTTTGTGCAAATGCGGTTATTGAAGGAGGTTGTTTAGTTTATAGTGCAGTACGTCTTATAGTGCGGTTATTTGCAACTTTTGCAACTCAAGTTATAAGCTGTCTACGCTGTATTTTGAATATGAGTCATTTTTATGCATTTTTTAGCTTTTGGCAGTGGTTCTTGAAAGCTGCTCTAAGCCACATTATAATTATTTAATGAAATGATTTTCCTCTGGACACAATGACTTTCATTATTTATTCATTTCATGACCGCAGTACAGATGAAGCAGTACTAAAGTAAGAAGTAGAGCAGCGGAATAGCGAAATTTTAGGTGCGAAGCGAGTTTAAAGTGTGATTTTGAGTGTGAGTGGGAATCAATTAAAATGTATTTTAAATTGAAATTGCAGAAAAAAAATGTTGAAGAGGATTCCTAAGCATATTCTTATGGAATAGCAACGCGGGAGTGTTGCTTTTGGCTAGGTTGATGAAGTGCTGGCGGGGCAGTGCTTAGTAGTTGTCTTATCAAGAAGTAGGTACTGCGGAAGCCATATGGTATTTACGCACATGATTTGGCATTTACGCACATGATATGTAAAGTGTTGTGAACAACACTTTAAATATGAAAGGCAGAGGTGCTATTTTCTCAGCCTCTCCTTTTCTTTCATCTTCTCTGGAAACGCAATTGATGTGGCAGACGAAGGTGTGTCCTCTTCTAGTTCAATTTCAAATCTTTCTCGTAAGCGCCAGTGTATAGGAACATCTGGAATTTAGAATGCTAAAAATCTTTGGCATTTGACTTTTCACACTTGCTGCCCAAATTTCAGGTCCAGAACAGCATTGAACCCCCATCTCTGCCACATTTGATAATCATGATGTAGCGTGAAAATATACGACGGACACACAGAATCACTCAGCACAAGCGCTACTAACAACTTTGATGGAGTGTTGATGACTCACAGAATGTATCTTCCAAACACGCCGGCGCGAGTGCAACATTCGGCAGGCTACAGGAGGCGCTAAGAAGAGATTGCGCATCAACAGTACGACTAAAGAAACGCATGTTTTGGGGCAAAAAAGACAACAGATGTCTGATTAACGCGATTGTTACCATATTTGTTGATAAAAAGAAATACTTCTAAAAGTTCTCGTGCCTTTCTATCTTTACTCCCACCCAGGATCTTGACATCATGAAACATGCCACTTATATCACCTCCATGTTGGAACCAGCGCTTCCTTAAGTCAATATATTTGCGATTGTAGCAGAGCCTGAAAGGCAGCTTTGCTGCAATAATAAAGTGTGATGGGGTGAATTGTATTGAAAATGTGAAGGGACAACTGCCAATTGGATGTGGACAGTATTTGTCATAGAGAAGCTTATTCAATAGTAAACTTTGAGTGTGAATCGAATTGAATAGCAAATACTATTAGAAAAATATTCGTAACTTCGAATATTCGCACACCCCTAGTAAAAAGCTTGCCCTATAAAGGGACCGACGACTGGCCAGAATGTGCGATTAGATCATATTAGAAATGCAAAGAGCATGAAATATGGTGACATATTCCAGCATTTTTTTTTCACGTTGCAACTAGGGCTTATATTTTTAAACCAAGCTTAAAATTATCAAAAACCATTTTGCTGTGCAGCCTAGCAGAAAAGTGTTGAAGATGGATTGTGCAATATGGAGTCGATCACTTTGCTGAATATGGTCACATAGTCTGATGCTGTTGTGCACGCCAGTCCTCAAAACTAGAGTATGTACTGTATTATCATCCAGCCTCGCTCAATTCTGTGCTGCTTATGTCGTAAAAGGCTCATGTGCGCGGAGTGCTAGCATGCGTGGTAAACTACCACGCTCGAAAATGAACCGCCCTCGTGCTCACCGTTTCATATTTGCTGCAGATAGAAAAGCTTTGATTAGAAGTGTTTCGCGTCACTTTTCACTTGACGATTTTGAGATCAGACTCACTGACGACTAAGATTTTCCTCGCGCTAAAAAAAAAAATAGGCTCCATTAAATGTAGATTTTGGTCCATAAGATACCATAAGAAAAAGTTGACTTTGGATTCAGTAGCACATTTAGCAAGCGTAAAAGCCCACTAGTGTTGACAGGTCTGGTCCATTTCTCAATGTTAAAGCTCGTTATGAGAAGTTTTATCTTGCGTTCTGTCTATCTTGCAGCTGTTCCAAGAGTGGCACTCAACCAGCATCCGCACACACTTCATGTGACACACCCATACCACTATTTCTGGTTTCCCAAGGAAAAGATGGCCCGTGCCATTCTCGCATGTTTCACATTCGCAGCAGCCAGAGCCAGGCAACTGTATGGGGTATGTCTTTCTTTATATTCTGAGTATCTATTTAAAGGAGTGCTTATACATTTGTATTTATTTCAATTTCAGTGCTGGTGTAGTATCTGACATGTGAGGTCTGCACATTCCAGTATGACCACATATACTCGTAGTGTTTAGCTTGATCATCATGGTTGCTCTGCTCATAGCAAACATGCTGGGCTGTGTCAAAACCAGTCCTTCAACAGGAACACTAATGTGCACATGCAAAAGCTCGTGCCTGAAGCAGACTCCATATGCATAGCGTCATGAATGAGCAATGCATATACCATCAGTATCAGGACAGCATGACAGACGCAAAATATATCGTAGAATTCATAAAAGTGGCTTCACATTATTAAGTACTTTGGTGTTGATGATTAGAGGCCGGATTTTTAAGCACTAAAAAAGTGTGTTTTGGGCACCCACCAAAAACAGGCAAGTAAAACACCATTTTAGACCCTCAAAATCAAAATTACAGGCACAATAAATTTCTACAAATATGGAAATATTCCAAAACAACCACATGGGTGACTTGTATCTACGGCAAGAAGCAAGAAAAAATGATATTATTTAAGATAACAGAAAGGTACCAACGATTGAACATAGGCATGCGTTCGCACAGTTCGCAGTATGTGGTCTTCCATTTTATTGCTTAGCATTGTGCGTCAAGTGTCCACCATCCAATTAACACTCTCCTGGGTCTCTCTTGTTTCGTTGTGGCTGGGAAGGGCAGCACAGGAGCAAATAACCAGACCACTGATATCCCAGAAGAGAGGGATGCTAGGTCTTATCGCGAAGGGCCAATTTCTATCCTATGGTGCACCGGGCACTCCGTATCATTTCTGTTAAGACTTGAAAAATTACATGTCTCGGAAAAATGCTCGATTTCGAATTAATGCCCCTTGCCCTTCTCACGGGCATGCGCCCCTAGATCTAGGGAGTGACGTACAGCAAGGAACGCCGCTCCTTTACGTTGACATTGGTGGGCTGACGTCGCATACCATACGCTCTCATCAGAACTTCGTTAAATGCTAGCTATATCTTGAAAAACAGATGAAAAATGCCCCGTCTCCTGATTATATCCTGCATTTTAAACGATACCTTATTAAGAGCGTTGCACGCGACATTACTCTGCTTGGCATGTGCAGTTTGTGTGTTCTGTTCTGCACCCTGAATGAGGAGTACTTTGGTTTGGGCTAGCTACTTCATATCATTTTGAAAGGGAAGCGCAAAGGCATAGGAAAAAGAAAGACAGCGCTCTATGTCTTTCTTTTCCCTGTGTCTTTGCACTGCCCATTCAAAATCTGTATAATGAATGAAAGCTGAGAAAAATAATACAACACACAAATGGAATCTCACCTTGTTATTATTTCTATTTTTGTTTTGTATAGTCTTGAGTTGCTATTCACTAATCAACCTTCGTTTCGCATCCACCTTCGAACCAGAATGCCGCAGGGTTCGATTGTGGGGCCGCGGCAGTTCACATTTCAGATGAAGGCGAAAAGAGTAGATGCCCATGTACTGCGTGATGTCAGTACACGTTAAAGAACACCAGATGGTCAAAATTTGCGGAGACCTTCACTATAGGCATCCCTCATATTCATATCGTGTTTTTTTTACGTAAAACCACACATCCTAACTGCTACTACTACTATACACTACTACTACTACCCCATTTCGCTTGCGTTCGTCTTCTCGTCGTTCCTGCATCGTGCCTTCGCCAACCCTGACAACGCTTAGCTTGTGAATGGTGCGTCGTCTCTGGCCGCAGTTTCAGCGCAGCGACGTGGTGTATCGCACTCACAATACATGATACTTGCCAGCCTCTCCTAAAGTACACGGCACTGACTGATTATACCACAGAAACTGGATAATACACAATAAAGAACGCCGAAACGATACAACATCGATGGCGTACGTGCACTAGTAGGCTGGGGCTCTTCATGCACGTGTGACCTTTGCTTACGCATGTAGTTCTTGGTGCGTAGGGGTGCATGTGATTCTCCAGCCCCAATACCGAAGAGAACGGGGAAGGAATGAAGCTCGCGATCGCTACAGTGGGATGAAAGGCGAGGGATTCAAGCTTGCTTCTTCGCATCATGCTTTGGTGACTCGTAGCGAACCAATTTGAAAAATGAATGTGGTAGAACGCATTTTCATTGGGCACGCAAGAGCTTCTAGTGTCTAACTACAACTTATTATGTCACCTAGAGAGGGACGTTTAAAAAGTAAATTACAAACATAACAAACTGCCACGTGCACATCACATATTTGCGCGAAGGCGCTGCAGCAGATCGGTTACAATGTCAAAGAAAACAGGCATTCATTGACACAACACACTTTGTTCTCTTTATAAGCCATTTCATTCTGTCATGAAACTAACAAAAAACGAATTAATAAAAAAATGTTATCTGATACGACATTCTAAAATAATAAATTCCATTGCGCAAAAAGGACTGTTTAGATACATTCATTTTTCTATGTGAGTTTTATCATGAAATGCTTGACATAAGAGCTTTACATGCAGTTTAATTGGACACGATGATAGTAATTCCCATCCTAGTTCATTTTTTATATTGTGACAGCTGTCATTTTTCAGTAATGGCTAAAAACAAACTTTAAAGCCCTGTTCTGTATTTTTCCATACAGAATAACCGTATTCGAGCATACGGTGAATGTATGTTAAATACACCGTTCATTGTAAACATGCCGGCGCCTATCTCAGGCTTCGCTGTATAAAGTATATTGATTTGGTGACCTTCGCCACCACTGAATCAACAAAAGCATTCCATGAGTGACCTTTCATGGTTTTTTATTCGTTCTCCAGTTACACGCGGCTGCCCAGAAAAACCTACTCTTCCTTTCCCACCACAACACCCAGGTTTTCAGGGCTGTTCTTAAGTTCCTTCAGGGCACTGGACAGCTGTCTGTAGAAGGCGGTCGCCGCGTCCTCGGCCATAGACGTCACTTTCATTTTCTTACCCCATCTTTGATTCTCTCTCCTCCTTCCCCTGCAGAAGCTTAGACGTTCTTCCACTTAGGGCTGCAGAAATAGCGTCTTTTGCACTCCTCATGCTCCTCTTCCAATCCCTCCGAGCATCAACTTTGTTTTCGTTGAACCTAATAGCATACCTGCCAACTTCAAGGATTCTGAATCCGGGATATTTCTGCAACAGGGGGGGGCACCAAAAAAAAACCTAAGACAAACAAACATTGTGAAAAACAAAAGGGGGTGGGAGGGAGGTCTCAATTACAAGTGCCAGCATTAGCGTTGCGGTCTTATAGTGGCTTGGAGTGGCCGAACACACGAGGGTAGAGTTTATCCCTAAGGTGAGAGTCTCACAGGATCCACAAACAACTCGCATGTGTTTTCCTGGGGCACACGTGAATGGACCGGACGGCGCAGCAGTCTGCCGCAAAAGTGCGGGTCAAAGCTTTGCTCACTACTAGACTCTTTTCACAGGAACGCCAAATGCGTCTGCCCCCTTTTTATTTTTTGTATGGACAGTCCAGACTGTTTTTTTTTTTTTTTTTGCCGTCGTCATGAACGTCGTCGTCCTTCACCGTATATGTATACAAATCTATATATATGAACACTAAACAAAAATTAATCACCCGTGCTCGGCGCCAATGATGCTGTGGTTATCTCTCACGTGTACTTTGCCCCATGGAGGAGGGGGGGAGGGGTAGATGCATGTGCGCGAGCGCTTATTTTGTGGCCGGAGAATCGTGTGCCTTCGGCTTTCACTGAAACGAAAGCGTTAGTTGCCGGGCCCACAAAGATCACTTTGGTCTCTGCACAGGCCCCTTTTGCGAAGCAAAACTGCAACTTCTTTTTGTTTTTTACGTACCTATTTACTGCCTTTAACCTACTGCTGCGTGCTCTCGGGGCTCGTAGATCACTATCGCGTCGCCGCGACCACGGTTTTGTGCGCAGCGATTGCGTTCATTTTACAATCCCCATGCGTTTGGCTGCGCACGCGTCTTCAAAACTGAGTTGTTATATGCCATCTACGATAGCATCTGCCGCAGTTTTCTCCGCAGAGTTTGTGGAAAGCAGCATTGCCTTGACTGGTTGAGCGCGCACTTTTGGGGTTCTGTCAGTTACGTTGTCGCCATACATGATCGTGCCAAGAGCGACCACGGTTTCATCCACAACGGTTGTGGCATGGACAAACAAACACACTGTAGAAGACAGTGCATGCGCCGGTCACACGCATACTTCCGAAGCTTCGAGTACGCTGCTCTCGGCCTTCGTTCGACAGTTTTCATACTAAAGTTCGTAATCACCCGCCGCTATTAGGAAGTGTGTTCGCAGCATTCGAATTGAGGCCTAATGTACAATTAGGAAATGTGTTCGGAACATTCGAATTGAGTCCTATTGTACATAGCAAAAACTGGCTGGGGAATTTCAAGAATTCGTATCTGCTGCGGTTTCGCATCACTGATTATACTGTACGTTTACATGAACGTCTCTTAAACTCATTAATAATAAAATGAAGTATATAGGTTCGAAAAGCCTGGAACGTATTGAGCTGCTTTTTTTGTCAATGCGGCCAGATCACGCACAGAAATTGATTTCTGGGAGATTTTTATGACAACCTTACAACCGGAAAAAACGGTCAAAATCCGGGAGTCTCCCGGCCAATCCGGAAGACTTGGCAGGTATGTTATAGTGTTTGGAAATATCACTGTTGCATTTTTTTACATGAATAACAGTTTCACACCATGCTCGAAAACAAAATTTATACGGACTATAGTCCGTATAAACCGGACTATAGGTCGAGTGGGTATATAGGTCGACCCCCCAATTTCAGGTTACAAAAAAAGAAAAAAAAAAGGAAAACAACTCAGAATTGCCGAACGACATTTATTTGCGAATTGGGTGCACCACACCCCGATCGTCGGAGCTCCCCTCAACCACCATCGTAACTGTTCCTATTCGGCAGACGAAGCACCACTGTCTTCTGAAGACGAGAGTTTGTCGCTGGCCGCCTCCCACAGTGCATTGTCTTCCGTGCCATACAGCGAGTTGCTGATGGAACATTTCTTAAAAGCATTTTCCACCATAGAATCTGGCAAGGAACGCCAGGCGGAAAGCACCCAGCCACAAACAGTCGCAAGCGAAGGCCTTGTAGGCGGCCCATCCGTGTCTCTGGGTTGTCGCCAGACATCAACTTTTGGTGCTCAAGCCACACGGTTCTTGAACAGCTTGTTTAGCACAACGTCGATCGGTTGGAGGGTGGACGTCATACCACCTGGTATCACGGTGATGTCCGTTTTTCCATCGCCCAGTGCGCGCTTCACAGCGTCGGTTAAGGTTACCACAAAACGCACCAGTGCACCTGGCTGACGGTTCCAGACTACTCGTACCCATTCGAGCATCATGGGCCTCGTCCATGTATCCCTTTTTGTTGACGCAAACGACAACACCAGGCGGGAACACTTCCTTCGGCATTGTTTTACGTTTGAAAATAAGGAAGGGCAGAAGCTTCCTACCATCTGCCATGCATGCCAGCATGACGGTGAAGAGCGAGTGCTCGTTGCCAGTGGACAACAGCTTCAGATCCTTGGCGCCACGCTGCATGATCATGGTCGATGAAGGCATGTCAAACCACACGGGGGTCTCATCGGCATTGTCAGTCTGCCCCATCATGTAGTTGTTCTGCTCCCGAAGGCGGTTCACGAAGCCCTGAAAGATTATAAGCTTGTCCTCGAACTCGTGTGGAAACTTCTGACAGATGGATGTGCGCCACTGGAAAGAAAATCCTTTGCGTCTCATGAATCGACGCACCCAAGAGTTTGGTGCACGAAACTCTTCTCTAGTGAGCCCAGCTTCTCAAGCGAGTTCCACAGCTTTCTTGCGAATGGTATCCATGGTCACTGGCAGCAAGCACGCATGAACTTCCCACACAAAGTTCCCTAGTGTATCCTCCAGCTGTGGATGAACCGCACTTCGCCCACGAAATTACATTTTCCGAGGATCGCACATCTGCAGCTTCCCTTTCTGCACCCTTCGATAGCGCATGCTTTTTTTCTGATGCACCGAAGTGGCGCCGAGCAGCCATATTCTCATTTGCTTCTGCAAACTCAACAACCTCTAGTCCAAACGCAGCTGAGTACTGCCTTCTCGAACTGCTACTCATATTCAGTGAACGAAAAAAAGACCAATAAAAATGAAACACGATGTCAAGCGGAGCAAGAACTTAGAACAGATCAGAGGCAAATCACAAACACAAAAAAACAGACAAGAGAGGGAAAAAAAAAAAAAGAACCCGCTATTGGATTCAAATGCGAATATGGCCGTGTCCAGCTTCTCATGCACATGCAAGCCACATGTTGCCAGAGAGCGGTGCACTGTCGGCTAGACACAGCTGTATAAGATGAGGGCGACTTTAGCTCATTGTTTTATTGAAAATATCTCGACTTATATTCCGGTTTATACGGTAGGCGCTCATTCAGAAAATAGGCATTTATAGGCACTTATAGACATTTAGGCACAAACACCGAAAATAGGCATTTATAGGCTCTATAGAAACACCATAAAGACCCTTCTTAACCTCTAATTCATGTCCATACATCAAAATGGCACTATAAGAATTGCAAGAAACAAAATAAGCATTTGCCTAGATTCCGGTCTCTAGTTATGATGATAGACTAATTTGAAGCCCATAGTACTCTTTGCAACTGTATAGCTGAAGCTATTGTATAACTAAGTGTATTTTGAGTATGTTAAGAACTGTGCCCTCTTGTTTTTCAGGCGGACACACTGACCTTACCAGAGCCTGTGGCTCTGCAGTGCACGTACAGTGATGCCGAAACATTTGGCTTTCTGGCGTACCAGCTGAATACACTCGACCTCTCCACTGACGAAGGCATCAAGAACCAGGTCTGGGTGGCAGGGGAGCCACACAAGCTTTTTGAAAGCTGCAATCACATTGAAGGCATGATGGGCCACAATCCCGCTGTCTTCCAACATTTTCTCGCATTCTACACCAATGGGTTCAGCCAGCTGCCATCTCTCCAGAGTTAGTAATATAGAGTCAGCGACGAGATAGACAGAAGCCAATAAAATGTAATGCTGAGCAGTGTTTGCATCTATCTCAAGTTGCATTGAAGAGAGACTAAAAGCAGCCCTTCAGATCAGTTTAGATTGATGAAGTGCATTTAAAGGGTCCCTCACCAGGTCTGACCATTTTGAGCTGACAAGCACACTGGGTGTTCATGATAACGTCTACCAAAGTTTGCAACGCTACGTGCCGTAGAAAGAGATGAATTGTCAAGCTGAACGCTGCTTGCCCTTCTTTGCACGGGCGCGCATTAAGAGAATGAGGGGATGACTTACAAGAAGAAATGGCCCTATGTTGTTGGTAGTGCTTTGGCGTCATTCCTTCTACTCAGACCTCCTCTACGTGTTACGACATAATCTATAATAGCAGGTCACGCCGCAATAGTTATTTGACACCAAGTGTGTAGTTCGTCTAATTTCTCTGTTGAGTAGATTATTAAAATTGGAGAGAAATAATCAAACACAAACAGAATGTGTGCATCTTTTCTTTTTAAATTTTTACTTTGAATAGCAGCGAATTGCAAGACTAATCTGCCCCCGTGCCACCTGAATTTGTATACAAGCAGTGTGTGTGCCGTGCAGCCACCACCCATGATAATTAAGCAATTTTCTACCCCGTTATAATGCTAATTGGGCTAATTTACCCTCCCACAACAAACTGTGTTCACGCAGCGCTGGCTGATGATACTGGTAGTCTTGCACTCTTACCAATGTTATAGCTTTCATGCTCAGTAATAGGTTGGAAGCAGAGTTGTCGGCAAGGACGAATTGGGCATAGTTCGCAGAGAGACAAAGCGCAAAAAAGGCTGATGCAACACTGCAGGCGTCTCGAGTGCTCGAGCTGGTTCGAGCATGTCATGCGGTCGTGGCCTTGTGTGTGCATGACGTGTTCATGCATATGCGTCATGTGGTCCTCTGGATCACATGCCGAAGAGGGCAAGGAAGGGATTTGTTTTGTGAAGGCTATATAGGGCGAGCGGCAAGGGTTTCAAGTTTGCCTTCTCGCATCAGTTTCTTACCACTTGAAAAATTTGTTTTCTCATATGTTCATAAAGTTAAGTGCGACACTGAAATGACGAGAAGGGGAGAGGGAGATCACTAACACAAGCACTAACTTCCAACAATGATTTATTGGAAGCTGGATCACTGAATAACTCAAACCTCATTATTCCATATGCAAGAAAATATATGCATTATATGCAAGAAAATAAGTTTGTTACATCTGAAAATTCTTTATAAAAGTTATTTCTAGCATTGTATCTAGTGCAAGACTACTTTTCATTTACTTTGTAATAACTGGTATTACGTTATATCTGTGTTTGTTACATTGAGGTTCAAGTATACATATGAAGATAGGGGCCACTCGGGCATGTGCAAATGCGGAGGTATCAAGAACTGACAATTCTTTTTTAGATAATGACAATAATCGTGCGCTGATACTTTCCTGGCCTAGCTCATGTATGGTAGCTGATTCTATGCTCAACCGTGTTGTGCATCTTTGTGCGTGTGTACAACGGAGCGCTTATCAAAAACAGGAGAACGCTATCCTGTCCTTGTCATTTCAGTGCTGCGCCTAATACCCGTGTCACACGGGCATGCAAAAATTCTTTTAAGTAAGCGGTCTTTTACGAAGTTGAAAGACCTTTGACAAAGAGGTGTTACGGCGCAGACACACGGCAGCAACGATCTCCTTTTAGTGTTTTCGTTCGTAGACACTAGCGAAAGCGTGGCGCTAGCAGTTAAAAGAGAAGCAGTGAAAATTAAACGATGTATCACAATGTACAAATTAAAGACTTGTTGCACTGCTCGTTTCTTCAAATAAATTTAAGAGTAAGAGATGAAGAAACAACAATGTGAAAGTTTGTTGCACTAGTTAAGGAAGCATTCCCATAACTAGCGACGTGCAAAAGTCCGTCTGGCACCACTGGGCTTTTATTTACCGTATTTGTTTTTCACTGCTCTCGACTGCTCTCGACACGTTATGGGCTACCGTACAGAAGAAAAAGCGAGGATCGCAAGCCTCACGGCCTGCCTTCTCGCTCTGGAAAGCGAGGCAGACACTGCAAAAGCCACCAAGGAGAGGATCAAGCAGCAACTGCTGTTCAGCAATACCTTGCTGTGCGCACTGGAGCTGTCGGAGAAGGCCTGCGATCGATCGATCTGGGCCTTCAGACGAAACGAGAGGTGGTTCAAGGGAACTGTACCTCACCTCGGTGAGCAGAACATCAAGCAATCTTTTAGAGTGTACCCGTCCACCTTTCATTTCATTGTGGAGAGCTTGCGCAGTGAGCTCGAAAGACAGTGCACCAGCATGCGTGAAACCATCACTCCTGAGAAGCGAGTCGGCATTGCCCTATACAAGCTTGACCACTTGAATGACGGGCAAACACACGACTGCCACGCTTTCCTCGCTTGTGCGAAATGGCGCGGCACGAGACCGAGCGTCACCACGTGATATTGCCGACGCGTTGTAGCTGCTTACGAGAGTAGAAAAGGAAGTAACCTTTAAGAGAGTTCATTACACCTTCTGCAGGATATGAAATTTGTTTTTACAAAGAGTTTTGGTGACAGAAAAATAAGCATTCGCTCTTTTTTTCCCACAACTCGAAAATTGCTGGCGCCCACTGGTTTCGAGGCTACTCATTCGGAGCCGTAAAAGAGATCGAAGAACTCCGTTTACGAAACAGACCGCTTCTGAAAAGGAGTTCGCTCTGTGCCGTGTGTCTGCTGTTAGGAACTCCTTTTCGGAAAAAGACCGCTTACTTAAAAGACTTTTAAGTGCCCATGTGACAGGGGTATAACTTTATGAACATAATACAAAGAAGGGAAAAACAGTGCTAAAGCTTTTGACAAACACACAGGAAGACGGACAATGACAAGGGTTGACTTACAACCGATCCTTATTTTGGAATGTGCACACATTTATACCATAGCAAGCAAAACACACGTGACTACCATAATGTGCAGTTATTCCTCTGGCGTCTATCTCAGCCTCGTAAACCTTGGTAAGCCTTATGAACATATTACACCAACAAGGCCAACAACCTACTCTTGTATTTACAGCTTCTAATGGATTCATTAGAAAAATTATTGTATGATAATGCTCTTCATTGAATGCGCAACAACTTCCAACAACAACCAAGTTACACTACATGTCATTAGACAAATGAAAAAAATAGCCTGTTGCTATCTAGTGTAATTTTATATCATAATATTGTAGCATGGATCAGTCAGGGCAAATTTACTACTTACAGAGAAGCTTACACTGTTTTTTTTTTGTAGGCACACTTAGATTATGCAGATTTAAAATTATATTTTAGGCCTTTAATCTTGGGGATCACCATTTCAGACTTGCTAATTGCCTCTGTTGGCTCCTGCAGGTAGTTTGGCTTAGAGGTCCTCAAGTGGGTCTAGTAATGAATGAAGGAAGGGCACTTTTAAGGGCTAATTTTTTATTGCTATACACAACATTAATTATAACTAACAGAAATAAAGCCAAGGAAAGTATAGAAGATGCCACATGGGCTAGGTGCACGCGCTAGCTGGGGAATGAGGTGTGAAAGGGTTCTGGGTTTTCACACGTCACACCTACAAATTTCGATAATTCACCTCAGGAATTTGGGCATGATACCATCGAGAACACGTATGCACTTGTGCGTCTAGTGAGCTGCTGTTTTTGGTGTGTTGAGGAATTGCGACATCCCATTACATAGGTGTTCTTGCGTTTTATCCCCATTAAAATGTGTTCGCTGTGCCCGGAAATTGAACCTGCCACAGCAAGCTCAGCAGCACAGCACCCTATGCACTAAGTTATGATGGCAGGTATGTCAAAAAGCTATGCTCTTTAATAAAGCTTTAAATAATTGTAGTTATATTATGCAGAAAAAATGCTGTAAGATGCATGATTTTCTTGTGAATTCTATTCATATTTGAAAGATGTTGAAAAAATATTCAGTTCAATTTGCACTTGGCCCTCTTTATTAAAATTTCATTGAAAGTTGAAAATTTTTCATTTTTGCATTCATTAAGGTTACCATTAGCTGATTCTATGATCAATCCGTGTTGTGCATCTTTGTGCGTGCGTACAACAGAGCGCTTATCAAAAACAGGCCAACGCTATCACTGCAGCTGCGATGCATAGCTGCTAAGCTGACAAAGATGCAGGTTTGTCGCTTTGACCCCCGCCACAGCTGTCGCATTTTAATAGACTTTGACAAAATGCTAAAGGCCCGTGTACTTGGATTTAAGCGCATGTTGAAGAATCCCAGGTGGTCGATACTTCTGGAGCCTTCCATACTGGTTGTGATCATCGTGGTTTTGGCTCATAAATTCCTAGATGTGGTTGTTATCATTCATATTACTATGACTATTATTATTATTATTCCTTTATTACCATTACTTGAAAGAAAACTGTATCTGTACCTTACCACATCATCTTTCCTGCTAACGTGAAAAGTTTTAATGGCATTACAGACCAACAGCTACACACAAGAAAATGCATTATGTCACAAAAACTTGCATCTCAATTTAAACCTTGTACCTCGTACTTGCGATAGCAACCCGCTTTGTGATTTTCAGCTGAATATTATTTCATTATTTTGCTTATATATTTGATAACATTTTTACTGCTGAGAGTTCAACGTATGCTATGTTCTCACCTTCTGTTTTTATCCTAGGAGTATTACCGCAGTACAATAATAAGTAAATCTCCAAATGATTAGTTAGCAGGCAATCAGTCCATGACAACTACATTTTACAGCTAGAGAATTTCTTGCATTGAAAAGTTGAACAGAAGCATTGGCAAAAGCAATTGCTGAGAATTCGGTCTTGCTGTCACTTGCTGACTTGGTCCGAACAGTGATATGAAATTTGAATACCAGCCTATATCAAGTTTAGCGAAAGGAAAGAGTGTGCAAGAAAATTTGGCAAATCAAAGGTGTGGATTGTAAAAATTTTATCATTTTTTTTATGGTGCAGAAATGCCACCAAGCAAATACATATACATGCTGGTATCTCTGACAGTCAGCCATGA